TTCCCTCACAGGAAAGATGGTAACTCATGGAGCTCTGGGCCAGCACCCCCAGCTCCACCTGGATCACATGCCAATCATCACAAATCTGGGAATCATGGAAAATCGTCAGATAGTTTGAGTTCTGGGGATGGAAAATCTGGTATCGGTCCTGGTGCCATAGTTGGAATTATTTTGGCTATTGTCGTAGTTGTAGCAATAGTAGGATTTATATTATTTAAGAGAAGAATACGGAGGCCATCCCCTGACGTAGAGAAGGTAGACATACATAAGCCTTTTGTTGCTCCTGCTTCGAATGACGTGGAAGGTAATTCACTCTTATTTTGGCTCTTTTTCCTCTCTTAATGGACCTTGCTTCAGTGAGAGAAACATATATAATTTTAGGTTCTTTTATCATCTGGAACTATGTAATTTCTTGCCATAAAAAAGTACTCGATAAACCTTAAAAGATATTGAGGATGTTTATATGGCATATCCACCCCTTTTAGCATATGTCACTATCCTTGTGGATAAGTTCATTATGAGTTGAAACCTCAAGACCCCACCCATAGGAATGAAGATAACTAAACCTAAAAAAGCAGTCTTTTGCCAGTGTGTGGTCCAAGCTTTGTACATTGGCGTCCCTTAGCTAACATTTTAAATTTATATATAACTAAATATCACCTGGCTTAAGCACATAAACCCAACATGTCCCAGAAACAGCAAGTCTCAAGAGTCCAGGTTATACACATAGGAGCTGTAAACATAATCCAAAATTTATAAGCCCAATCTTCTAGTGTCCGTATAGCACATGGAGGCTTCATTGACTTGTGGCACTTCCAAAGCGGAATGAATTTGATGAAGATAAGAAATGGAGTCATTTGCAATGCTAGAAATTCATCCTAAAGGCAAAACTGAAGTTAATCAATGAAAATGAAATCATTGCAGTTATATTATCCAAGCATGTCTGCATCGTGTTTTGAGATTGCTTTTGCTATTTATGTTTTCTGTATCAACTTGCCTTATGCTCCTTAATTTCCTGAACCTTTCAAGCTGTTTGGAACGCTAATTCATCAGGTAAACCTGAATATATGGAATTGAAGTCAGTTCATTCTTCATCCTCAATCAACACAACCACGCTTGACACAGTTCCCGCAGTTGTTCTAAAACCACCTCCATTGGATCGCAACAAATCATTTGATGATGAAGACTTATCAAATAAACCTGTTCGCCCTATAGTCACCAAAATTCCTACACCAGTGCCCGAAAATGTAAAATCATATTCTATAGCAGACCTGCAGATGGCTACTGGAAGTTTCAGCGTTGAAAATCTTATTGGAGAGGGGTCTATTGGACGTGTATATCGTGCTCAATTTGATGATGGAAAGGTGTGTGCCCTTGAATGCTTTTAATTTTTATTTTTTTATTCTCCACTATTTGTTCCTCAAATGACGGGAAGTCTGCCAATGGAAGAAACTCTACTATTGCTGTTCCTGATTTGGGTGGTGTGTTTCAGCCCTTGTATATAAGATAGTGCTGTAAATTTATTGACAAAAATTTGGTCTGGTGCACTAGAAGAAAAAACATAAATTTTTAACTTACAGAAAAATTTCATGAAATGACTGGCCTAATGCTTGGACCGGTGAAAGGGGCATACATTCGGAATTTTTCATCATTTTTTACATGTGAATTGTACCTATGTTGTTTGGCAACCTTCACGTTCAGTGTCATTAAACTGCTGTTAGTTTGTGACAAGTCATTGTGTGCTAGTTTGAAGCCTTTATGATGATTAAAGTTGCTCATAGTTGGTAAATATGTTGTTTTGATAGGTTCTTGCTGTGAAAAAGATTGACTCATCTGTTCTAGCTAACCATCCTGAAGATTTCACCGAAATTGTTGCAAGCATTTCCAAATTACATCATCCAAATGTAACTGAGCTTGTTGGCTATTGTTCTGAACATGGCCAACACTTGCTAATTTATGAATTCCACAAGAATGGCTCATTGAATGACTTCTTACATCTTGATGATGAGTACAGTAAACCATTGACATGGAATACTCGTGTCAAAATTGCTTTAGGGAGCGCACGTGCTCTTGAGTAAGTCAGCCTTGTGACTTAGTATGTGTAACTTTATTTGTTTACTCAACTCTATTCACGTTAACATATATTCCCCAATCATTGCCAGGTACCTACATGAAGTTTGCTCTCCATCTGTTGTTCATCAAAACTTTAAATCAGAGAACATATTACTTGATGTGGAGCTAAATCCTCATCTTTCTGATTGTGGGTTGGCAAACCTCCTTCCGAACGCAAACCAGGTAAACTTTCAATATATACTCTTAAGTTCTTGTGCTTGAATGAGGCATGCCCTACATTTATGGTAGTCATATGACAATGTCTTTTGTTGGATATGCAATCATAGTATCTTAAAGTTAGAGAAGACTGAAAGGTCCACTCTGTAACACCATAAAAGGAAGAGAATGAAGAGGAAAAGGAGAAAAGCACTAAATGATCACTGTTTAAGAAATTATCTTAACATTTGATCAAACTTTATGCTATTTTCTTCATTTCTTACCCCCTTTTCCTTTTTGGTGATATTGTAACTGAGGAATTTTCAGTCATTGATGCTTTGTGTTTGTAAGGTGTCCCCCCCCCCCCCTCTCTTTTTTCTGATAATGATCCTGATTTTCTTGCAAATAATTCATTGCTGACAACTAAGTCTCATAACGTGCTCAAAGATTAACGCTCTTTCTTTTGATATCCTCTTGCTGTTTATGCAGGCGATTAACCATAATGCTTGTGCTCCTGAAGTTGCTGATTCTGGTCAGTATACTTTGAAGAGTGATGTCTACAGTTTTGGCGTGGTTATGTTAGAGCTTCTCAGTGGACGGAAACCATTTGATAGGTAATGTTGTGTCATCAGTACAGAATGAGGACACAGCCAGGATTTAATAGGGTGATTTTCTGAATAAATCTATTTTGTATTCAGCTCGTTGCCAAGGGCTGAGCAATCGTTGGTTCGGTGGGCTACACCTCAGCTTCATGACATTGATGCTTTGACTAAAATGGTCGATCCTGCTCTAGAAGGCCTCTACCCTGTGAAATCTTTGTCGCGATTTGCTGATGTCATTGCCCTTTGTGTTCAGGTATTGTTGACTGCCTTTTCTTGGTTTTGCTTTACTTGGCAGGTGCAAAATTACATGCTGTTAACTTATATGCTGATCCCGGCAAAAACCTGAAACTTTGTGGAGTGAATTAATGGCCTAGCACCTCGTATATTGTTTGGTTGTATGTGTGGTCTTGTGCACTGAAGATATCATTTAGACGAATAAGAGAATCTCATAATACTAGCTAATTATTGAATCACCACAACCAGGTCCATCAGTTTAGTATAGAAGAATGTTACAACCCTTTTGGTAAATTAATGTTGTGTATGTTTGCACACTATTTCCAATTGGATGTCTTGGGAGATGTATGTCCACCTCCAAGTATATGATTTCCTTCTTTAATTCAGTAATCAGTACCGCTCAATCGCATCTCTAGAGGTGGTGATAAGTGGTAATAAAGGTCAAAGAACAAAAATGCATGCTTTGTGAACTGTGGGTACTTGTGTAGCAGTGTAGGTGCGTCATAGACTTGCAGTAAGTGTCTACATGGAAATATGGTATGTTGCATGTAAAACTACCCAACCCAGTGTTGTAACCTCCAGCTTATGATCTTTCATCAACTCGTCCAGTTATCCATTAGATCCTTAGAGCCTTTACTCACCTATGAATTGTGGAGTGTTGTAAGCTTTTACTTTCTGAAACTTGAGATGTAGGTTTCCATTTAGATACTTGTTTTTTCTGCGCAGTATTCTATTCATATCTAGGTTCTGCTAGGTTTGTGTCTAAAACATACTGAAACATGCTTTTGTGAACAGCCTGAGCCCGAGTTCCGACCACCAATGTCAGAGGTGGTGCAAGCTTTGGTTCGATTGGTTCAGCGAGCAAACATGAGCAAAAGAACTGTTGGAAATGCTGGTCGACAATCAGAAAGCACAGACACAAATGATAGTGTTAATTAAATGGTTGTATAATAATTTTGTTCATTTGATCCTCCGCCTGACCAAAGTAAAGTTATTTATTTCTCCTTCACCTCATAATTTTTCTCCTCCACCACCTGGTTTCTTCTGCATTCACTAAAGTTTCAGTTCAGGGTACGAATGCTGTCATTCATTCTTTTCTTTTCATTTTCTTTTATATATGTTCATTTTCGGTATCACCTTATTGTATGATATAATGTATTGAAGGTGAAAAAAGATTAATACTTCATGTTTTCATGTGGTGCATCTATCGCATGGGCTTGTATTCTGGTTCCTTCCCTAGTTCCCCTGAGATGGTAGGGAAAAAAATTGTATATCACATCGAGAGTTGAAAATTCTCAATTTTGTCAAACAAGTTCAGAAATGTTGCAACAAAGAACAATTTCATAGAAGGATCCTAACTTCAGCTAATCAACATCTTACGCTTCAGAATTCAGAAACATTAACTTGACAAAACTGACCCAATTCCGACTGTCCGTGTTACATTATGGAATTGTACTTGTAAAACTTGACCAAATAATGACTTGAATTATTTAAGAAACAAACTTACCTAAGCTAATTGAAAAGACTCAAATATGACCCTTGCCACCGCGCAAAAGGTCTAATCGATACTAATTCAAAGCTGAAAAAACAAAGACGGACTATCATTGTTTATTACTCATTCAAAAAGCTCCCAAAAATTTACAAAGACATCATTGTTTATTACTCGTATCATCATATGTAATCGAACATGAGATGAACCCTTTGTTCTATAAGTGCTTATTCGTCTTTTATTGACTAATTTAAGATTAAATGGGATAAGTTTAATCGAGTTAAATTTAAAACAAAATGTGTTCATTTCACATTATACACCACAAACATTTTCAGATAATTTTTAATCAAGACAAAGTTTTTTTTTTTTTTTTTTTCCACAAATAAGTTCCAATAAAATTTCAACAAGATAAAATAAACCCAAAAATAGAAGTGAACTTCAAGACAAAACTATAAACACAAAGTATGGGCAAAGACGAGTAGCAGAGCAAAAATGGCGGGTATTGAGAAGAAGCAGCTTCTAACAGAGCTACATGAATCTGGCATTTGTAAAATCCCTAATTCACTCACATTCTTCATTGATCCTGTTCGAATACTCAATCGTAACTACACCCAATTTAGGGTTTCCCCTTCTTCCTATTACTCTCGCTTCTTTACTTCCAATTTCACCATTGATGAACTACCAAATCAAGAACACAAATCAGAAAATGGAGATAATTTTAGGGTTTCTGCAAGTTGTGGAAAGAGAAAACGAAATCAAAAGAAGAAGAAAATTCAGCAATGTTATCCTCTTAATGAGAAGGAATTACTAGCCGATCAACGACACCAGGTACAATTTCAATTTAATTTTTTAGGTTTATGTTTTACTTAATTTGTTGTTAATTTTGTGCAATTTTTGATTTTTGTTTTTTTGTTTTTTTTTTTTTTTTTTTTGATTTGTTTGAAGGAAATTAGGCCTTTATTAGTAAAAGCACATGAAGAATTGCTTAGAGCTAAGGAGCTGTTAGATGTAATTTGCGAGCTTAATTGTGAAATTGAGGGTTGGGAACGTTGTGTTGATTTGAATTCTGGTGGAATTAATGAAGAAGAAGAAGTTTCGTTTATTGAGCTTGGAAAAGTTTGGCAAGCTCCCTTGTATGAAATTGCTCTTGATTATACTCAAGCTAACACACAGGTCCAAATAAATGGAGGTTAGTTTCTGTTCATTTCGCGATATTTACTTCGTCTAGGTTTGTTTGTTGTGTTGCTATTGGTTTCAAGCTTTCTAATGTTTGGATTTTGAAGATTTCTCTTTTGTGTAGGATTATTGTTGTTTTGTTGTCTTTTTAGAGGTGAAAAGAATTTGTTGCAAATGAAGATATGAATCTTAGGGGAGAGCATGGGACGGGTACCCGTTCCAATAACGTTATCGGTTCACTAATATATTCATTGTCGTGCTTACGAGTTTCGATGAATTGGCTTGTAGTTAAGGGGAGTAAACTGCAAATGTGCCTTTTCTAGTATTTTAGTACATAAAGTAATCATCTAAGCCTTCATTACCATATGAAAGTGTAGGAAAATAAGTTCCTTGCTACTAGTCATGTTAACCTCAAGTCCTCAACATTGTTTCACTGTGTACTATCTTAATTACAAAAATGTTTTAATCCATTTTGCTCCCTTGTTTCGTATTATTATTTGAGGACACCCAATTCATTACTTTTCAGTTCCATTTGTCATTATGCTTCTATCTCTATCATTCATCAATGTATACAATAATTATGATGATTCTTAGGCTTTCATTCTTTGTTGGACATACAGGTTCCCTTGATACTCAGCATGTTAATCAAAGGTTACTCCCATTATTCAATAACTTAGTCTCAAATGAGACAAACTATGACATGGTGGCAGAATTTCAGACAAGTCAATACATTTTACCAAAAGATAGCTGCTTCTACATGGTATGCTGTTTGCCTTTGCTTATTGGTTTGTGATAATCCATAGCTCTTTAGTAATTGCTATCGTAAAAAATGCAACTTAGCTTTCTTTGGACTTTACCTTAAGCATCACAATCACTTTTCTTATTTCTTACACAACCTTTGTTTTTTTTTATTTTTCTTATGTCCATGTCATAGTCTGAACTGGAGCAGATTCACACCTTAGTTCCCGGTAATGGTTATGGTATTTCTTCACAGCACATTGCTCCTTCATGCATCTTGTTCTAGGCTACCAAATATTGGTTCATTAGGGTCCTTCATTAAGCTATTTTCATAAACTAGTCTGTACTTTTCTCACTTAGTAAGCAGAGGTAATGATGCAACTTGTAAGTCGTACCTAAAAGCTTATCACTCAATCTCTAAGTTTATCACACTTGTTTGTATCTGTGCCTTATTCTTTATCATTGATGTAGATAGTTAGCCAGTTAGTCTCTGTCTGCTAGTCTAAAATTTTGGACTGAGATGTGTATTCTTATCATTGCAGCTAATTCAGAATGTGGGTTTAATTTTATAATGGTTGATCCACCATGGGAAAACAGGAGTGCATATCAAAAGTCAAAGTATGTACTGCTGATAATTTTATTTTACTTTTTGCTACTGCACTATTCTATGAATGCTTGTTAAAAGAACCTAAGAAACCTTTTTCCCTGCTAGTTGAAGCCTTACTCTAGGGGGTTCATCTAAGAAAACTTATAATGGTGATAATTGATTCAATGAGCTATCTATTTTTTTTACATCAGTCAGTACAATTATTATGACTCAAGTCTCAAATTCGAACCCCTTATTTCCCAATATTATCCTCAGCTAAGTGAATCATTATGGCTCTTTGTTAGGTACCCTACTTTGCCAAACCGGCACTTTTTGTCACTTCCGATTAAGCAACTTACCTATACAAGTGGAGCACTTGTAGCTTTATGGGTGACAAACAGGGAGAAATTGCGGAAGTTTGTTGAAAATGAACTGTTTCCTGCATGGGGAGTCAGCTATGCAGCTACATTATATTGGTTAAAAGTACGTCATACTATTGATATTTCCATTTGTACTCTATAACAGTAAAAGAAAAATAATAAAAGGTTAGGTAGGGACGCTACTTTCTAGATTTACACGACTTTTTCATTAAGAACTGGAAGTCTTATAGATGCTACTTCATGCTGGAAATTATGTGCATGTAAAATTGTGTTTGATTTTGCAGGTAAAAGCTGATGGATCTTTGATTTGTGACCTAGACCTCTTTCATCACCGGCCTTATGAATGCCTTCTACTTGGATACACTGGAAAACCTGTAGGTTTTTCTGTAACTTTAACTTATATTGATTTGATACATAAAATATCTAAAGAATGTAATGCAGGTAACAGATTCTGAGCTAACAGCCACAGGAAAGTCTTTAAAAGATCAAGTAGTGATGACCATTCCAGGGGACTACTCAAGAAAACCCCCGGTAGGAGGTATATTCATCCTCCTCTTTGCAGCTAGTACAGAGAATCTTCTCGGTAACATTTTATTGGTTGAAGACATAAGCTATTCAACTATATATATTTATAAATAGATTCAATGCTCCTTGAAAAGTAGACTTTTGAGTTTGCTGGTCATCAGATATTTCTATTCCCTCAATAGTTTCAGCCAAAAACTCTTCGCTAACCCTTTTTGTAGAAATATCAGATGAGCTGCTTTGACACAAATAAGCTTCCCCGTAACAAAAAGACTCACCCATCCTCTCATTCTGGCTCTTCATTGTCTTGATAATATATGGATTACTTGTGAGTTGTGAATGAACGTGTGATTTAGTTTGTTCTTGCCATTGTCAGATTTGCTCCTGGAGTATGTGCCAGGACCCAGACCTGCTCGTTGCATCGAGCTGTTTGCCAGAGAAATGATGGCTGGATGGACATCTTGGGGAAATGAACCTCTGCACTTTCAAGACAGGAGATTTTTTTCAAGGAATATAACTGAAAACACTAATTAAAGAGAATTTTAAACTGCTGTACTGTATTATGTTGCCTAAATATATTCAAAGACTATACAGCTTCTGACACAGATTGAGGTGAGGAATCTGAGGATCAATTGTTCTGAAAGGCTCTTCAGCAGCCAAGGAAACGCAAACTATGCAGCACCCCAGGACAAGGAATGACAGATATCTCGACAAAAAATGGACAAGATGAAAGCCATCTGTTAACTATTGCGTATCAGATGCATAGCTATGTTGTTTCAAAAAAAAAAAAATGTTGTTGCCAGAGTTATGCTTTCACATTATAAAATTTCTATGGTTCATACTCCCTACTCAATTCAGAACCAGGAGTTGAGCTCTTTGTCAGTTACATATTCATCATTTATGATATCAATCAGTCCGTACTTTGATATTTTATTGTATGAGTCACTGTTTCCAGACATTTGGAAGTTGAAAACACAGCATGTCAAGAATTATTGAAAGGCTCTCATTCATGAATTACTGAGTATAATGTTTAAAACGGGGTTTACTAAAATGATTTCCACCTTGACATTGTCAAGTATTGTTCCAAAAAAGGCTAACCTGGAACAAATATCTTGGATTTATGTTATTAATAATTTCAAGGTTCAATAATTATTAATTACATAAGTTTAAGAAATGTTTAAAGTCGGTTCCAATCTCACTTTGTAGTCTATGATGTGATAGTTCAACATCTTTTAATCTGACCTGAACACTTAATACAGCAAGCATAAATCTGAAGATTAAATTTTCATTTTGCTGAAGCTACTTAACCCAATATCATGTATTGAAAGCTTGGGATTTAGTATTACATATTGCCATAGTGGGCATACTACACATTTTTTTTTTTTTTTTTGAAAACACGCAAAGCATATCATTAATCAGAAGAAAGACGATCCATGAGTACAAACGGAGTGACAGTTTGGGGGCAATGATTTTCCCAAATTTGTTCAACTCCGAAGGGAATAAGCTTTGCTACTTAACCCAACTCCGAAGGGCATACTACACATAACAAGTTCACTTTTTGCAACATAATCCTGTCTAGAAGGAAATCCTTTTAATGGTCCAAAAAAGGACCACTTTAATGGAGTTTTAGAGCATGAATGAGACAGAAAAGACTGATAACATACTAGGTGCTGGACCAAAGGGTCCAAAATGACATTTCAGAAACAAATTTTCAGAATATCATTACAAGATCCAAAGCATCTGTTGAAATCCATTTCTAACTGACACAAAAGACTGGTTAGAAATCCCATACAAATCTTTAGCAAACTTGAATACCAGTCTAGCAATAGAAGTCTCAATTCAACTACAAAACCGTCTGCCAAATCTAAAATTTGTTTTAAAGCTTTATAAATAAATGGGACTTCCTGACCAATACAATAATTCAGATTTCTTTGTAAAAGATTGGTCATTGAGTTGCATAGGTTGCCAGTTAGTGTGAATGTCCAGCCGATAGCACAAGATATGGTCAACCAAAGCATTGATTTCAAACTTTGCAGATTTTTTCTTCGAGCAACAGCTGCTCTTTAATTGTAGACCATATACTTGGGGGTTGCACTGAACTTCTGGTAACCCTTAATGACCTTGTTCACAGCATCAAGGAAATCTTTCTCCGTCACTGTCTTCCTCCTAGCTCGAATTGCATACATTCCAGCTTCAGTGCACACACTCCTTATGTCAGCACCTGTAACAGTATTTGTTAGATTGACATTTTCCTCGACATGATACACAGCAATTTTTCCAGGAAAAACCAACTTTATATGGGTTAGGGTTTTTAATTCTTTTAGGAGCTTAGAAACATTAAACAAAAAGAGATTTGCACATATAAGTTCAGATTGTCACCTGTAGAGTTTGGGCAAAGGCGGGCAAGAAGCTCAAATCGGATATCCCTTTCACAGTTCATGGTCCTGGTATGGATCTTGAATATTTGTGTCCTACCCTCCAGATCTGGAAGGCCAAACTCAACCTTCCTGTCTAATCGACCAGGACGCAATAGAGCTGGGTCAAGAGTGTCGGGTCTGGGACAAGATAGCAATATGAGAATTATCACTAAAAAAAGAAAGGATGATAAAGAGATGCCATCTTGCCCTACAAGAACAAAGTTTACCTGTTTGTGGCCATAAGAACCTTGATGTTTCCACGAGCATCAAACCCATCAAGTTGATTTACGATTTCAAGCATAGTACGCTGAACCTCATTGTCTCCTCCAACACCATCATCAAAACGTGCACCTCCAATAGCATCAACTTCATCAAAGAAAACAATACATGCCTTCTTTGATCTTGCCATCTGAGCACACAAGCATCATATATACTTAGCACAGGAAAGGAAGTACTTAAAAAAACTAGAACAGTAAAACCTCTAAACATACCTGAAATAGCTCACGAACCATTCGGGCACCCTCACCAACATACTTTTGGACAAGCTCACTCCCAATAACACGAATGAAGCACGCATCAGTTCGATTGGCAACAGCTCTGGCCAAAAGTGTTTTTCCAGTACCAGGAGGACCATAGCATAAGACTCCCTTGGGAGGATCTATTCCAAGCTTAACAAATTTCTCTGGGTGAAGCATGGGTAATTCAACAACCTACAACCAAAACATAGAAAGAGGTTTACTTGCATGTCAAAAGAACTTCAAAAAACAGCAAGACACCTGATTTCAGAAACAAGACGAGCCTCTTCTTGTTTTACAAAGAATACTAAGTGCTTGTTTGGTTGGAAGATATTTCCCTTGGAAATGGTAAGTCCTAGGCAATAACTAAAATATGTTGTGTTTGGTTAGAAATTTCCTAGGAAATGAAATTTCCAAGAGAAATGTAAATTCCCACACAACATGGGAAATAACTCACCAAGCCTAGGTGAGTTAATTCCTACAATGCATAGGAATTTATTTCTTAGGAAATACTAATTCCCATAATGTCAACCAAACACACTGGAAAAATTTGTATGCAATTAGCAAGGGAAACTTCCCATGGTATATTATTTCATGTGGGAATTTATTTCCCAAGTTGAACCAAACAAGCACTAATTATGCAGAAACTTCAAAAGTGGGCAAAACAAACTCACTTCTCGCATCTTTTCAATTTGCTCTTTGCATCCACCGACATCATTATATGTCACATCTGGCTTCTCCTCTACCGTCATCATGGTCACACTGGGATCAATCTTTGGTGGCAAAGGAATCTGGATCTGGTATTTGTTTCTATCAACACTGTAACAAGCATGATATAAAAGATATAAATTATGTAAGCAAAAGGATCAGACAACATATTAAGTATCAAATCCAGGGAAACAAAAAATAGTAAACAAGTAAAATAGCATGTCTAATCTGCTGAAGAGAAGTCACAGAACAACAAGCCATCTCAAGTTTGAAAGCAATAAATGCAGCGTTAGTCATGTCAAATTCAAATGTAAATCTAATAGATCATAGAATATAGTACAGGGTTAAACCTAATATCCCAAATTTTGAAATCATATTTTGAAAGTCAGTACACAAATCACATCTCCAACAACTTGGATAAAGCAATTTATAATCAATCCACAAAATACATTTCTACCAAATTTTGAAACTGCATCAACCATTAACACTCACGGAAATCAAATGGCTAAGTTAAGCAGTGAAAACCATTGAGCAATAGCCAAAAGGCCCAAAAAAGCCTCTGCCTGCATAGTGACCTACATGGGCACATTTATATCAAACAGGAATAATTGAAAAATCCTCATAATTCATCTGCTTAAGTTCTGAATAGCTAGGATATCCAGTTACCTAACTTTAGGCTCCACATAGGCACATACCAGTATACTACTAGTAAAAAAAAGAAAATTACCACTCGTATACATTTAAAACATAAACCATATAACAATACATTTTCCCAGGTATACTGTGGAATTTTTCCTCAATCAAATTCACTTTTGTAAGATGCATCACGGCGAAAAAATATTTTAAAATGTTGATCAAAGTATTACAACAAGAATTGAAAAAACCGACATACCCAACACGCATGCCTTCTTCAATATCGGTTGGAGAAACTTTATCTCCCAGTCCAACAACAAACTGAAATTTTAAAATAAAAACAAATATTAGAAAGAAAATCATAATTACAGAAAGGAAATAACCATGCATACAGACGTCTACGTACAAGTGTATAACCCATACAAATATATCCAGAAAGAAAACAATTCCTAAAATAAATAAATTTGCACTAATACACCAGCAAACAACAAGACATCTCTTTGGAACATTCTAAACAATACCAAAAGCCTGACACCAACTGCGAACGAGATGCAACATAGCACAAAAAATTACTGCAAGGCTATGGTTAAAAAGATAATCACAACATAACATAGTTTTTACCAAAAATAAAAAATGAAAAAAAAAATGAAAAAGCGCTAAAAAGAAAAGAGAGAAAAAAGGAAGGAAAAGAAACTATGGAAATGGTAAGCTCGAGTACCTTTGCAATTTGCTTCACATTGATCACATACTTTGCATCTTCAGTGTTCGGATTGATTATCTTGGTGCATCTTGCAACCTGCTCAACAATAAAGGCATTTACCATAAGTATTCAGAACTTAAAGTGTAAAAAAAAGGAAAGAAATTATAGAAAAACTACACATAGACAGTACCTGGAGTGGTTGCTCCTCCTGCATCATTTGCTTGTCAGAGACAAGATCCCACTGGCTAGGAGCTGCCAATCCAGTATCAGATTCCTTGATACCTGTTATAAAATAAAGACCATTAATTCAAATGAGAAAGACTAGCAATGTAGCATAATGCAATCTCCAACAAAACTTAGCTCAAACAGTAACTGAACCACACACTCATCAGTAAACAAACATGAACACGTCATTTGTCACATTCAGAGACAAGAGTAACATTAGAAATGCTCACAAGCATAGGGCACCCTGAAAGCCATTTAACTATAAAAATAATACAAGTCCACTGGAAATTTCTGTAAATTAGGCCCAAAGGTTGACAGAATTGTCATAAGCTTTACTTATTAAGATTTAGGAATATCCTAAGCTGTTTGGACATCATTAAGACATAAAAATTGCAAAATCTCCTTCCACTGATATCCAATTAATCCAAAACAAACTCATAAAGGCTAATCAAATTCAAATTAGGGGCAGCTTGCCAGCAAACACACGGTACCCTTCAAAGATTAATAATATCATTTCAACATTGGCTGCAGATTAATAAAATGATCCAGATCAGGAGGCAAATGAAGGGGCAATAGTAGTAGTTCAATCAACTATCCATACCAGTAACTAATACGAAGTAGAATTTTGCAAAACACATCTTGAAGCAAAAAACAAAATAAGAACTTTGCGTACCCTTCAGGCCTTCACAATCTGAAAAGGTGTATAGTACTATAGTGCAACAAAACAGGGGATACGATAATCTAACTGAGACATTATCTTGTACTTATAAACTATCTCTAGATTAAGGAATTAAAATTATACAAGTATTTTACCCACAAGAATGATACAAAAAGATAATCTTTTCTAAGTTGATTAGTTTAGAGGGAAAAATGAAGTCGATGAATTCAACGAACTTCAAACAATTATAACACAAAAACCAAGAAAGTGTCTTGTAAATCAATACATAATCATACATACCAATTAAGTCATTAACTTTTTTTGCCATATCCTTAATCTCCTTCTCCGCCTTCTTGATGCTAGCTGAGTAAGGTCCCAATCCCTGCATAAATGATCAAATTAACCCCAAGAGAATAACAATACAATAAAATCTTTCAAACTACACTGGAACATATGCCTTAATAATTAACACATAATCACCATATTCAAAGCAAAATAGGATCTTTTATTCATTAACAGCCCATAGGAAGGAAAACACAACAGTGCCTATAACAATTTGCCAGAAAGCACTAGTAAAGAGCCTGATTTCAGAAAGGCTTCTAGGTCCCCTGAGCATCCAATATTAAATTTCTTAATTATGTGTTCTCCAAAAAATTCAAAAAGTGATTTTTACAACTTCAACATATATTTTCACAAGGCATCAATTTTAAACAAACAAAGAAAAAAACGAATCGCGGGTTCCATACACACTACAAGTCTACAACCCCTATATGATCATAAATTATATAACAAAAAATCTTAACACTTTGTTCCTGAAAACTTAAAGTATCAATCTTATACTTCAACCCTAGCACTAACCTAAAAATTGCATCTTTCACTATTCACTACCTTCAGTATGAAATCAACTGATAAAATAAAAACATTTATCAACACAATTTATCAAAAATCGCAAATTATACAAGCACAGAAGATCGCAGAAATAAAATTTTCACTTCTCACACAATCTGACACTCGCAGATTTCAATCGACAGCCATAAACCCTATCATTCAAATTCCGTAAAATTCAGCATCAATTATATTTTAAAATCCATAAGCACTCCAATTAAACAAAAAAATAAACCCTAATAATTTCAATGCCAACAAATCGAAGGCAATACTAGCAAGAAAAAAGAAAGTAAATTAGGGTTAAGAATTACATAGGTTTTGAGAAGAGCGATATCATCTTCATCTAAAGGACGGGGATTCTTCTCGTCCTTGAGATCATCTTCGTGGTCAATCGCCATTGTTGAGTTGAGGGATTTTCTCTCTCCTCCGCTTTGTATAAATACTCGTGGTTGCAAAGTTTTCTTGAAGAACAAGTGAGGTGAGCTCTAAATAAGGAATTAAAAGAAATAATTGCAGAATTTTTTATTTATAGGAGAAAAGACCCAAAAACATAATATTTCGTCTTACGTTTGGAATCGGATAAAACAGGAGTTGGGTTGGGTTAAGTTGTGGTTTTTAAGCCCATTTATAAAGTGTTTGTTAGCCCAAAAATTTTCAATTTTATGGAAATATTTTAATTATAATAGTTGTTAATTTGAATAATCTTTGTAAATAATTTAAATTTGTTAGGTTCTTTCAAAAAAAAAAAAAAAATTAAATTTGTTAGGTTTGCTTTGTAAAATACCTATAGATTCTTGAATAATTTTTGTGGGTGATTTCCATAAAAATTGTTCAAAGATTAAAAAATTCCTAAATTACATTCTTTTTACAAAAAAATTCCCCCCAGACCATCCAACTCAGCATTTAAATTAATTATTTTTTTTTTACAACTTACTAGTAAACCGCTAATTCACATATAAAATCGCTAATTCAATTAGCGGTTTAGTAGTTAGGTGAAATAATCTCCACAATTGTATGCACAAATTCTTATAAAATCGCTAGTTCAATTAGCGGTTTTGTGTTGAATGATTTTTTTTAAAAAATAAAAACACAACAAACTTTCTTATGTGGACGGTATGGAAGGAATATTTTGTAAAAAGGGAGTAATTTGGGAATTTTAGTCTTTTACACCCAACTTTTGTATACATTTGTGTACAATTATTTACTGTACATTGAGGGTCACTTTTTATCAAATTTAGGGTCATTATTACAATTTTTTAAGGTAATTTTTATCAATAAAGCATAAATATTTCGTAACTTTTATTCATATTAGTTGTTTTTATTTATTTTTATTTTTATTTTTATTTTATTTTATTGCTCATTTTAGGGGTAACTTTGATATTTGATTTATTTAAAAATTTGTAAAGATTCTTAAGGTTATAATTATATTGTTGTAAAATAATACTCTCTCTTTTCTGCAAAAAAATAAAAATAAAATACTCTTTTCAATGGTATAAACATAAATACGTAGTATATTACTTTTCTATCCTAAATTACACTAAATCATATGAGATACAGCGCGCCTATATGATATTGGTACTCCCTATGGCTCTTGAAATGTTCATATGTTATACATGAACTCGTAGACAGATTATGGCCTATTCAAACAATAGTAGTTGATAAGAGAAAAGAGTATTCAGTTGTTTAGATTGCTCAACCTTATAAGCTGTACGTATATTCAAACAACAGAAGTTACAAGCATCCTAATACGTTAGCTTCGCTGAGATTAAGATAGAACCTTACTTCTTGCAAACTGCAAAGAGTAGATAATTGAAAAATGTGACTACACTACTAAGTACTAACAATAATACTGTAACACAAAACAGGAATAAGTCTAATGTTTATGAAAGTAGTAGTATTTTCATACGAAATATTACAGAAACTTCATAAGTTCTTCACATAAAAAATATTGTTATAGTCAATTACAAAATAATTCCCTAAGTTTAATTATAGTCCCTTTCATCAAATTCAGAGATATATCTTGAGTACTTGACCAGCAAACCAAGTCCACCCTTTGACCCAAAGTAACTACGGAAGCATATAATCTGAACTTCCATCATCAAGGCATCCCATGAAAGAAACGATACAAAAACACACCCACAATCACAAACAATGCAGATATCTCAAAGCAACAGACATCTTATCTTCATAATACTTTGGTATTCCTTCCTTTTTTGTTATCAGTACACGGAAGCTTGCAATCTGCAAGACCAACAATCCCTTCTCGCCTTTTCTGAACCTCTTACATCTCCTTTGGGTCCACTGAAATGGAGCACTTCCTCTGATTGCTGCTCCTCTTGGGAAGGAATTGGTTGTGATGACAATGGCAGGATCACGCGTTTGTGGATTCCTGGTAGAGAATTGACAGGCTACATATCATCTTCGCTAGGGAACCTTACAAGTCTCTCTCAGCTTAACATTTCTTATAATTTCCTAACTGGTGTTCTCCCTGCAGGAGTTTTTAGTTCATTAAGTAGCCTTGACATCGTTGACATAAGCTCAAATCGTTTGAGAGGTAATCTCTCAGCTTCCTTACCTTTGGGATCGAATCTGACAAGTTTTAATGCTAGCAACAATGAGTTAACTGGTCATTTTCCTTCATCCATATGTAAAACTTCACCTTTACTTAAAACTCTTGATTTCTCTCGTAACTTTTTCAATGGAGAAATTCCTGTTGGATTAGGCAGATGCTCCAACCTTGAAGTTTTTCGAGCAGATTGCAATTATCTGTCTGGAGAACTCCCTGGTGATATTTACAGCTTGCAGTCACTTGTGGTACTGTCACTGGCTGCAAACAATATAAGTGGAACTATACAAGGCATACTGAGCCTTACCAACCTCAAGATTATTGAGTTGTATGGGAATTACTTTACTGGGGAAATACCTCAGGATATCGCGAAGCTCTCTAAATTAGAGCAACTGCTTCTTCACCTCAACAATTTCAGTGGTTCAATACCAGCATCCTTGATGAACTGCACACAACTCATAAAGCTTACTTTACGAGGATATAATCTACAAGGTTACACCTCTGCACTTGATTTCTCAAGACTTGTCCAGCTCCAAATACTTGACATCGGGCACAATAACTTCACTGGAAATTTACCACAGAGCTTATTCTCTTGCAAGTCACTAACTGCAATAGGTGTAGCAAGTAACAGGTTAAGTGGTGAAATTTCTCCCAACATAGTGGAGCTGAAATCTCTTTCTTTCCTCTGTCTCTCGGGCAACAAGTTCATTAACGTCTTTGATACAATCAGAATTCTGTTAGGTTGTAAGAATCTTGAGACCTTAATCCTATCAAATAATTACTATGATGAAACTTTACCTGCTGAAAAGAGCTTCATAGGGCCAGCTGAATTCACTAACCTGCAAGTTCTTGCTCTCGGAGGATGCAACTTCAGAGGGCGATTTCCAGAATGGCTGTTGCATATCAAGAGCCTAGGAGTTCTGGACCTGTCATACAATCAGATAACAGGTAGAATTCCAGATTGGTTTGGTACTTTGCCAAGCCTCTTCTACTTGGACTTGTCAGTGAATCGTCTTTCAGGAGAATTTGCGCTGCCACTCAACAGTTTTCCAGCATTAAAATCAGAGGGGTCTGCTCACAAATTGAGCCAAAGTAACCTCAAGCTCCCAGTATTTATTGCTGCCAACAACACCACAAGACAGCAATACAATGAGCTCTCAGTCCTATTTTCCATGAAACCAAACAATGGAAATGGATTTTCCATTGTAAAAGGTTTTCAATGGAAAACCAATTTCATTTGAAAATGTTACACCCTACGAAACGGAGCCTCTAAGTATAACATTCAAGTAAATTAGAATTTAACAAAAATGGCAGAAGAGATTAGTAAGATTCGAAAACCAGAGATTAGGTCAATTACTCACCGAGATTAATTTTTATGCTTAAGACAGTCCAATGAGGCAAAGCATGGATAATACATGTAGGCAGCACCAACTACAAGATCTATCCCTTTTATCTCAGCAATCATCTCAACTGTATCATTCATGAGATTGAATGCAAATAAGGATGGTGCCACATAAATAAAAACAACAGGTGCCTCAGGATGGAAGGCTATTGGCGCTATATGTTTATTATTGGCCACAAATTGGCGTAAACATTCCTCAGCAACGGGTAATTGGCATAAAGATATGCCCGGTTCTTCGAATACAAGCTGTGGAATCCAACCTTGGGCATCTAGTGAACTTCCATTGTGTTTCCAAATCCATAACCCAGGAAGCATAGAGTAGCAGAAGTAGAGACATCCTTGAGATCCATGCAACATTCCACGGCCCTCTAAAACACGTTTTGGTATGCGTAGGGAGTAAGCACTACTTACTTGCTCGCCTGAACGGAATTTAACTCCCACAACATAGCTCTTGCTTGTTATGAAAAACAAAGTGTTGTCAAGAAATACAGCACCAAACAAGCTCCAATGTGCTAAACAGACAGCTTTTTTGAGGCAGAACTCGGACTCAGACCATTGGTCCTTGCTAGAAGAAAAAACCTCAGCCACTACCCTTCCTCCTCCTAGCTCCTTGTTGAAGCTGATAACTCTAATATTACACTGGGAGGAGAGAATATAATCTGAAAGATTGATGATGGTGCAATACCGAGGTTTGGAAAGTCCTCGAACCCTTCGGGCTAAGGAAGGGCACATAGGCAGGACAAATTTTTCTCTGGTGGCAGGGTTGTATACATGAAAAATAAATGTATCACGCGAGCTGATAAGTATTAGTCCCCTGTGTATGGTCCAGAAGATATTATGCATGGTATTTGAGACCAGGTTGCCATAGTCTACGGTTAAGTTTCCCAATGATAACGACGTCAAGCCATTACCATTGGCATCATACCTATCCTTATGGTGGTCATTCATGTCTACGGTAGCACTTTTGGTTTGACCATCCAAGGACCAACTAGTACTCTTGTAATCAGCAAGGGATAAGTAACTGATACTGTACTCTTTCTCGTCAATACTCCAATTAGGGTGACCAAAAGGCAACTGATAACGCACAGTATTTAATTAGCATATACAAATTGAAACTATGGCATATAGGCATACTAGCAACCTAGAAGATCAAATTGCATCATTAACTCATTATATATTTTCCCTAAAAAATTAAATAAAAAACATATATATTTATTTTAACGCTTAAAATTATAACCGTAACCGTTAACCGCTATATTTAGCGGTTCGGTCAACCATAACCGTTTAATTTAAAGGTTCGGTAAATTAACCGTTTAAATGAACCGGCTATACCGGCTAACAGTTAAGGTAAACGGTTACGAGTTTTTTGCCCACCCTAGGTACTATGGACCTAATGGTGAGACCACTGTTATTGTGAGAACCAGAGCAGGCAGGGCACCCGCCTAGGGCCCCAAATTTTGAAGCCCAAATATGCTAATGAAAATCCAAAATTAAAAATAAAAATTAAAATTAAATTATAGTGCAGCGCATAAGACAAGGAATTACCACCTCAATTAGAATAATGGAGTCTTCTACTAAGTACAAGAGTTTCATTATAATAAAGTACATAAAGTTTTCTTAAGTCTTAAAGTTTCCTTAAGAATAAACTACAAAGAGTATCAATTGTTTGTAATAGAATTCTACTATCCTTCAAAAAAAAAAAAAAAAAAAAAAAAAAAAAAAAAAAAAAGAATTCAACTAAAATGGCAAAGTAAACATCTTGACCAACAGACCAAGTCCACCTTTGACCAAAAGTAAACGCTTAATTAGTATCAAATTATTTTAGCTTTCATTCTCAAGTCCACTAATGACATAAGTAGAAAAACACACCCAAAACATTCACAAAAAAATGTACAGAAGAGAAGAGTGAAAGAACTGAATAACTACTATTTAAGCTATGAAGTTAGGCTTCTTACCTTTATTACCTCAAAGCAACTCTGATCTTCTCTTCATATTGCTGTTACTATATTCCTTAACCTTCTCTAATCAGCAAGCTTGTAATCCACAAGATCAACAATCCCTTTTCGCCTTTTGTAATTCCCTATCCTCTTCATTGGGTCCTCTGAATTGGAGTTCAGACACCAATTGTTGCTCCTCTTGGGAGGGGATTGGTTGTGATGAAGAGGGCAGGGTAACTTTGTTGTGGCTACCCTTGAGAGGATTAGAAGGAAGCATCTCCGCTTCGCTTGGAAGCCTTACAAGCCTTTCTAAGCTCAATCTATCCTATAATCATCTTATTGGGTATCTCCCAGAAAGACTTTTCAGCTCATTGAATAGCCTTGAGATCTTTGATATACAGTCAAATTCTCTGTATGGTAATCTCTCGGCATCTTTTTTCTCAGATGGTAGTTTTTCTTCCACCATTCAAGTTATAGATATTTCAAGCAATATTTTTCATGGAGGAATTGAACCATATTGGTTCTTCCACGGTTCAAATTTGTCGAGTTTCAATGCCAGTAACAACGGCTTTACAGGCAACATTCCATTAGCTATTTGTATCACTTGTCCTCTGCTTAGGACACTTGATTTCTCTGACAACAGTTTTAGCGGTGAGCTTCCTGTTGGACTAGGGGGATGCTTGAATCTCAGAGTACTCCGAGCAGGTTTCAATCTTCTCTCTGGATTACTTCCTGATGACATTTACAGACTAAGGTCACTTGTCGAGTTATCACTGCCTGTAAATAACATTGGTGGAACCATTGGAAGTGGAATTTTAGAACTTGCAAACCTCAAGATCATCAAGCTGTACTCAAACAACTTTGCTGGTACGATCCCTCAAGAAATCGGGAAGCTATTTAAACTGGAGCAATTGTATCTTCAAATCAACAATCTCAATGGTTCTATACCAGCATCATTGATGAACTGCACAAATCTTGTAAAACTCATTCTTAGAGTGAATTCCCTGGAAGGTAACATCTCTAAGCTTGATTTTTCGAGGCTTAACCATCTCCAAACACTAGACCTCGGTAACAATAAGTTCATAGGAAATTTACCAGAGACCTTATTTTCATGCAAATCAGTAACTGCAGTTCGAGTAGCCTCCAACAACTTAGCAGGATCAATTCCTCCCAATATAGTGGCATTAACATCTTTAACTTTCTTATCTCTTTCTAATAATAGCTTCACCAATGTGTCGAATGCAATCAAGATTTTTGCAGGTTGCAAGAGCCTCGTCACTCTCATCCTGTCAAAAAACTTCTATAACGAAGTTATACCAGGCATAAAGACTTTCATAGGACAAGAAGGATTTAAAAACCTACAAGTTCTTGCCTTGGGAGGATGTAACTTTGAGGGGCAAGTTCCAGAGTGGCTGGTCTATATCAACAATCTTGTGGCTTTGGACTTGTCGTACAATCGAATTACAGGCAAAATTCCAGATTCAATAGGCAACCTGTCAAGCCTCTTCTACTTGGACTTTTCAAGGAATCTTCTCAGAGGGGATTTTCCACTGCAACTCTCAAGGCTTCCAGCATTAATTTCAGAGAGGGTTGCTCAAAAACTAAGCCTAAGTTTTCTTCAGCTCCCAGTGTTTGTTTCCCCCAACAATGTTACTACTCGCCAATACAATCAGCTCGAGCACCTGCCTCCAGCAATATACCTCAGCGGTAATCACCTAAGTGGCAGAATTCCGGTTGAAATAACTCAACTACAGAATCTTCATATCCTTGATCTCAGTGAAAACAGCTTCTCAGGCAGCATCCCACCAAATTTTTCGAATCTCACAAATCTAGAAATGCTTGATCTTTCTCAGAATAATTTGACCAACGGAATTCCAACATCACTACGTAACCTAAATTTCTTATCAAGATTTAATGTTTCACACAACCAGCTTGAGGGACCAATACCTGAAGGAGGTCAGTTTGAAACTTTCACCGAAAGTAGCTATATCGGTAATCCAGGGCTATGTGGTCGAGTTCTGCAGAGTCCTTGTTCAGCTCAGCCTGTTCAAGACGCACAACATCAGGATACAGCTGATAAAAGCAAGAAGACATTTCTTGTTGAAGGATTTCTAACTGGTTTCTCCATAATATTTCCTTCCGTTCTTGCAATTCAAGCATACCGTCATCGGAGGATCCTTTATTACAGCAAGAAGCGATGAATACCCCTATTCAGGCAGAAATCACTGGAAAGTTATCTAAGATCTCTATCACAATAATAAGTACGCGGCAAATGCCAGCAACACTGCAACGCCTTTTTGTTATAAATGAAGGAAAAAAAACTTCATAGATTTGAATTTTTAATATTTATCAGTACTTTTGCTTGTTGTACAGTTTACAACAGCCCCTTAACTTTCATTTCACAAACGAGCTTATTTCACATGAATCAGACTCTCCTTGGTTACATAAGGCTCTGCAATTTTTTCCAATATCCCATAAAACAACAATTATAAATTGATTACTAACATCTTCACAACCCACATAATATTCAGAAAGATGGTCTTACATTGTGCAGCCGATCAAATAAACTTCAGAATGCAGGAGTAGCAGCCAGAATTTATGCAATATACAAGCATTTGTTATTCGAAATTCAACATCAGCACTATACATTGCTAATGAAAGCCAACGTATTAAAATTAATCAATCATATGATTAACCAGGCCAAAAGTCAAGTACAAAGCTTATCTGTTTTTTGGAGAAAAAAACAAATCTTTTTATTCAGTTTGGGGAAAATAAATAGGCAAAGCTGGGGAGTCTGCTACACACACCCCTCACTGAGCAAAATTTCTATCGACAAAGCTGTGAATATATCAGTGGGCAGGAGAAAGCGAAATACAGAGGCAATAAGTAAATATGCCTAAACCTTTAGCAGAGAACTATTCATAGAATTATATAGCTGGTAATCTGGTAATCACTTGAAACCCATGGATCATTAGTTCTATCAATTGAAACCCTGAAAACAAGTGTCTACAAATGCCTACAAATTCTCAATCTGTATGTGGTACGATTCTTCTTACAAAATTGCAAATCTAATCACTGTAAAGAAAAGTTCTTCAGATATGCTCCTAATCCTAACCAACAATTCAGCTACAACTCCTGGTACCTGAGAACCTCTTGCGGATTCAGCTCAAAAGTCTTGCAAATATCTATCATGACACATCTGCTAAGGCCATCACCTGGATTTCCACAGCGAACAAGTTCTTCCAGACGCTTCGATGGTTCCAAGACCTACCCAAATATGAAGAATCATCCTCAGTGGGTAATAGAAAATACATTGCAAAAATAAGGTTCTTTATCGGCCAACTTGCACGACAGGCCAAAACTTTCATGGTTTTAATTTATACTACGTAGTATTATCTTATCAAACTTGAGGAAGTTATGATCAAACACTGAAATACTTTATTAGCTTCTCTAATTGTTAAAAGTAAAAACAACAATCCCCCTGGCTTAATTTACAAATTGAACTTCACGATTTATTCAATCTATATATTCCAGCATACACATTTCAAGTGGCAGTGGTGACTGTTTATCAGCAGGCTACACCCAGCAAAAACTCAACAACCAAAGAGGGGAAAAAAAAAAAAAAAAAAAAAAAAAAAAAAAAAAAAAAAAAAAACAAAGGTTTCTTACCAAACGTAACCCAGTCGCTTCATCATGGGAGCAATTATGACTTTTATTTTCTTTCTTGTTACTGCACCGACCATCTGAACCATCTGAGACAAGCTGAAGAAGCTTTTCACTGCCCTATAAGATTTTGACCAGCATTACTAAGTTAAATCTTCAATAAAAAAAAATTAAAAAAAAAAAAAGTTAAAACATAAATAAACAGAATTAAGTGGAGTATGGCCCTAGAACCTGTGTATATCACATCTACAGGGGGGTGGGGGAGTGGCTTAAATCAATAGTATCGTCGCAGAAACACAACCTTAATACAAGTGAAGCAGTGTAATATATGAAAACTTCTTGCTCAAACTCAAGGTAGTTGCAATTCAATAAAGCAATGAGAGGGAAGAATATCTTTCAACGGCAAATTATGTCTCTACAACATGAACTGCTAAGAGCTTTGAATAGCCAAAATTGTATATATGATCTCTCTTCACACATTGAGCTTTTCAAGTAACAAATACTAGGTAGTAGTGAGCCAGTGAGGTAATCTTCACCTAGATTTCCAAAGGAGCCAAAAAAATGGATAGTAGGTTTTGTAGACATACAACATCTGTAGCAAGCTAGGCAGGAGTCTGGCATGCTTATTAACTGTGAAGGTTGGTGTAAAATCTGGAGTATTGTAACTTATGAGCTCTTTCCAAAATTTTCAGTAATTTGACAAGCAACAGTAATCTCTCCACCTCAGTAAAATTTAATTAATTGCAATAAAGCTCTAAAGACACCTAACAACTTCAACAACTACATATTTACATAATGTATTGTCAGCATTGTATCTCTAACAAAGGTTCCTCCAATAACATGGAAATCCTTATATTTCAATACTAGCAAAGACGTAGCAGCATTATGCATTTATAAAGTTGTTCGAAACACATGTTGGAATTGGAAAGCACAAAAAGTAGACCACTCAACCCAATTTTTGAGCAAACCACAATGATCAATGACCAACAAACATCAATTTGACCATTATAAAGAAAAAGGTAATGTGATTTTTTACAAAAACTTACTTTCATCCTAAAAAAAATAAAAAATAAAATTCATACAGAGGTTTACAAGACTCCTATCACTCATAAAAATACAAAACATGACCCAACCTTAGTTAAATAATGAAAATAAAGCACACACCTGCCAGGCACGCCAGTGGGAATATGTGCGATACAGCAGCCAAAAGAATGGGATGTTGGGCAAAGGTAGAACCTGATCATCAAGGACCAGATGATATCAGTTTTGGCTACTGCCAAAAGTCAAGAAAAAAACAACAGTTCATGGGCAAGATCATTACCATGAAGACAGAAGATACTGGAAGCAATGCTGCAGAGCCATACAAATACTTTTTGTGAATTATTGATCCACTGAAGAAAAAAAAAATATACCAATGTATCATCAATAAATAAATTACTCACTGCCTTGAAAATACAGACAGCTAGGGAAAAGAACTAAGGAAGTGGGCATTCAAATACACAATAGTGAAATCTAGCAACATTCAGTAATAATTAGACTAAGGCAAGCCAACATGGTGACCACCAGGGTCCACATCCTCCACCAACACCACTCTAATAAAGCATTGATTAGAATTTAGGATCATATACCCACACTCAACATAGGCAGACATACCATTGTTTGAGAACTATGCGCTTCCAAGAAGCAAATATTTTATTAATGAATGTTTGCAGAGGAGAGAGGCCACCTGCTAACCACTTATTTCAGCATTATAAGGCTGACTTAAAATACTAAAAAGAAAAAGAAAAAAAAAAAAAAAAAAAGGTGCACTCACAAAGTCACAAAAAGTCCAACAGTGCAAATAAATCAAAACAGTCTACTTACCTTCTCATATACTTCATATTAACTAGCTATGCACACTTAGTTTCACAATGCAAAAATATCAACTATGCTCTAGGTAAATATATAATGCCAAAAAAAAAAAAAAAAAAAAAAAAAAAAAACAGATATTCAATACCTCATAGCAATGTGTCGTAATCTTCGACGTACAAGTCTAGCATTTAAACTGCATCATCAGAAACAAATAATAATTGGAAACTCAGAATTTACAATAGGTGTGATTCTACAAATTAAAATCTAAATAGAAAATAACTGATATTCCTATAGGAAATATATATTTAGTATTTCAACTAATTAGAGATGGGAAGTGAGTGCAATGTGACAAAATTTAAGAGTAAAAAATCTGGTTGTTAGTAAATAGTGTCGAATAGCTAGTATATGAGCACGGCAGCACGCTGACTAATAAACCGCACTCTTATGTTAGCTAGTTAAGAACAACATTGAATACATCTCATAACAACTTATGAAAATGAGGGAATGCCAAATACAGAAGTCCAAACATGAAAGCAAAGTGGGAACCTTGTTGGATATGTAACTTCAACTCCAGTGACTTCCTTAGATATAGACTTCAAGAAGAGCTCGCTTGGCTTGACCCGAGAAAGCAACCATAACCCAACACTGCATAAAAGTTTAGGCTTAAAATAAGGAATATGATAGGAAGTCCAGTAATCACAGCAGGCAAAGAGAAAATTTACATCTAAGAGTACCCATGAATCTTGTTTTTGAAAGACCCTTGCGGCGCCTTCTCCAAACCCGTCCAAGCTGTATTCATCTTTAGAAAAAAAAAAAAGAAAAAGATGCTTAACTGATTAAACGAAATACATCAAAATAAGGCACATGCAATTAGCTTTGCACTCATAAATTCCTGCGCACACAAACAAAAATAAGAGAAATCGAAAGGGAAAACAGATGGAGAACATCAAATGGGTAACAACGTAACATATCAAACAGTGGCAGTCATGGCACAATATTCTGACCATAGTACCCAAATTTGCCCCATTTTTATTCAACTTCTCAACATCTTAACGAATGAAAATGTGAGACATTAGTTCTAAGTATCAAACTGGTTGTTCTTAGTTTGTGCCTGTCCAATTGAATCGGGCATGAGTGGCATCCACCAACCCACTAGAAGCTCGATACTGGCTAATTCAGGCTTCATAAGCAAAACCAAACTGAAATTGCTGCTTCAATATGAAAAGATAGCAGCTTAGGAACTACAAATGACAAATGGGGAAGTAGTATCTAATCCTAAGTTCATCGCAAGATACCTACACAATATGAAAAAAGGTTCACACTATTGCTTCATAATGCCATATTACGACTGCATTCAACGATCAAGCAAGCGGTAACTAATCTTTGCAGCAAACACCCCATGACAATTGATCATTACTCCAATTAGAAAATGACTATCCTAAACACCAAAATTGGCAACATATCAACATATGAAAAATAGCCCCGATTATTCATATTTTATACTTAATCTCCCAAGATATTACCCACATTCAGAAATTACCAACATTACAACAACAATCTTGCACCCACACATCATTGCTACCAAAATCAACAACCCCTATTCAAGATTATAATGTCAGCCAATAACAATCAAACCAAGAATGCAAAAACTTTTATACAACGGGTGTATCGTATACAACAGACTCAATCACCCCCAGATCACACCCACAAAATTGCAGTAATGTAAAAGAGGGAGGAGAGAGAAAGACCTTATGTGAGACAAAATCAACAAGAAGCTCAGCATTAGCAGTAGCAGGTTGAGAAGAGGATGAGAGAGACTTCCAAAGATCTCTAACAGTAGTAGGCGTAGACGATAAATTTGACGCATCGCCGGAAATTAAGGAATCCATTGATCTGCTAAAACACCAATTCCTCCCTTTTACGGGAAACACTACCAATCTAGCTCGCATCATTGTTGTTTAATTGAAGATTAATGTTTAAAGATTTAGAAAGAAGGAAGGGTTTAACGAAGGATAATAAACCCTAGAAATACAAAAGGATGGAAATCATGGAATTTGGGGATTTTTTTCAGGTGAGAGAAATGAAGAAATAATGACCAAGAGAGAGAAAACGGCGGGATTTTGAAGAATTAATGAATCAAGTGTTGTTTGGTTAAACCAACGAATTAAAATTTGTAGAATTAGAAATGAGTTTTCCACCATGGGGCGCTTGGAAGTTGGAATGGGGGTAATAACACATAAATTAAGGCAGGTTATATTATTTTCAATTCAGTTCATTTCAGCTATAATAATTTTACTTCAGTTTAGTTCTTATCTTAATTTATTTCTTTTATAAAATATTTAGTTCAGCTTAGTCAATAAAAACAGGCCCTAAGGAGTAATAAAAGTCAAACTAGGTAAATTATAGTTGATTAGAGTTATTATTGTAGGGAGACAAGGTATTTATGAATAAATTAAGGTTTTAGTGATATAAAAGAGAGGGGTGAAGGAATCATTACCCTTAAAATGAGCTCCACCAGCCAGTTTTGACCTCCAGTTACCGTGGACGATAACCGGTTTTGGCCTCTGCCACGGTAACTTGTTTTGGCCTCCGATTACCGTCCACGGTAACCGGTTTCAGCCTCCGGTCCGGTTGACCATGGTAACCAAAGCCCAAAACCGGTTTATCGTGGAGCTTTGGTCGACTCCAGTTCTTTTTCCGTCAAGCCACCTTGATCACTATCCATTTCTCATCAACGTTTGCCATCGTTGTGGCTGTCTAGTGTAGAAGGTGGTAGTTGATGGACTAATGTTAGAGAATGAAAATGGGAAAAAACAGTCAGTAAGGACAAGATTGTCAGTTTGATTGAAATGATGGCGGTGGGTGGTGGCATTAAATTTGAACGGCGGTATTTAACATCCCCAAAAAAAACATGCGTTAACAAACGTGCAAAATTATAATGAGAAATATTTAGTAATGGACGGAGTTGTTTGAAGCTTTACACCTAACGTTTATGACTTTAGGAAAATTTATAGAGTTAGGACCTGTTCATATAAATTGAACTGAACTGATTAGAGCTGAACTGAACTAAACTGAATAGAGTTGAAATGAATATTTTATGGGATTTGGAAATTATGAACTGAAGTGAATCAAGTGATTGGAGTTGAATTGAACTGAACTGTATTAAGGTGAAGTGAACATGCCCTTAGTGGGCTTAATGTTTCCTTTCATGGGTTATATATATTCACTAAATTCATATGTGGCTGACCGTCGGGGTTACTCGGTCAGGGATTAGTCGAGGTTAATCGATCAGTTAGGGGTTACTCGATCGATTTTAAATTACTCGATCAGGGGTTACTTGGTTAGTCGGGGATTTCCGATCAAATCAGTGTTTTCGTGTGAGGGTCAGCCGACCACACTGTGTGGCCAGCCACATAGTAAACGCACTAATATGTTCACTAACTACTCGTGTAGTTAGGTTCACGAGTTATTCATTTGACGTCATGATAAGATGTGATATCTTAAAGACGCAAGGTGATTTTATATGAAATTTTGATATGAATTCATTTTATAACTTTTTTTTAAAATTATTGTCGTATTCATAATTGTTAATTTGAATATAAATTTATAATTAGGATTTAATTATCATACTAATTTTAAGATTTCCAAAAGTCTGAAGCACAAAGCTCATTTAGTCATTTAGTAAATTTAGAAGAGTTTGTTTATAATTAAGTTGTGTTTGTTCATGAAAAACGCTCATTTGTCAACTTGTTTGGTAAATGAGTAGTCCACGAGCCGTTCGCAAACACTATAGTTTACTAAGTGAATCGAGTTTGGACATATGTTTGAGATCGCTTGAAAGCTTGTGATTGTGCTCGAGCTCGCCTAGATTAAATGAGGTTGAACATGAACGAGATAGTAATTGGCTCAGCTCGGCTCGGCTGCATGAACTACACCCCTAGTCTTGGCCCTGTTATTAATAATCCTTTCCAAGGTGGTTGTATGTCAGTTGGTATGTTGAGCGAAGAAGGAATGTGTGGAACAAAAGTTTGGTATTCATGAGTCTTTTTTGTTACTTCGTATTACTTTGTCTTTGAGATTGACTTTTGTTGATCAATAATAATATATTTTCTCCGTTTTTTTAATTTACACCATTTAACTTTTAAATAGATTATACATTGACTAAGTTTTGTAATTTGTAGTTATCATAAAACATAAGGATCACCAAGAATTATTTGAATCTTCCTAATGTATATTTTACTAATATCCATTTTTTATAATTTACAATGTTTTATAGTTTATTAGAGATATTAATTATTAAAACCTGATTTTTGACGGGCTTTGGACAACATTTTCCGGCCCGATTTTTAAAAAAAATAAAAAATTGAGCGGGCTTAGGAAATCAATTTTATGCAATTTAGTTGATTTTTTTCCCAGCCCGAATTGGCCTGAAAAGCCCGCATGGCCCACCTAGTTTGGACGGGTTTGGGCACACATTTTTCGGCCCGAAACTTGGCCCGACCCAATAAATAGGCAATTTTTTACCTTGGCCCGGCCCGCCCATTGATCACCTCTAATATTATATACTACTCCGTAATAGACACACCCGCAATGTCACATGTTATCTCTTGGCTTGGTGTGTCCTTAGTTTGTAAAATATAATTACGTAAAAAAATATAATACTAGTATATCTTTAACACAAGAGCTTGTGCACTTGGCCATCATATTGTGAGAATACTAACCGAGTAATTCCTATAATATTGTATTAACCCGAACATTTATTGCTATTGAAAAACCCAATGTTAATATGATAATTTGCAAATTGCAATACATTCAATTAATCAAGAAAATCGACAACACTAGTTCAAACTGACTTCGTGTTTCCATCAATTACATACACACACCTCTGTGTCAAATAGAGCATATCCTCGTTAGACATTCAAAGAACTTGATGGGTAAAGATAAAAACAATCCAAAATAAATATAACACCACCAAACTTAAATAAAATCATATTGTGAAATTCAAATTAACAAAAAAGTTAAATAGGATATATTGTATAATATTCCGTATTAGTTAAACATTACTCTGTTATAAGCAAAACATCGAAAAGAATGACATTATTATGTGGTACACAAGACATGTTCAGAAACTGTAATTCAAAATTCTTCAACTTGTGTTTCTCTTCGGCTCGTGTGAAATGGAAGCTGAGTTTGTCTCCGGCTCGTTTGTAAAGTAAGTCAATAGTAGCATTAGGAGCCAAAGCAATTCTCATTTGAGGCCAGTCCTTTTCAAGGGTTGTATAAACCACGATTTTATCACACGTGCAGTCCTTTAAGTCGTATTCTCTTGTCTTGTTGATTTTCTCAATTACTTCCTGTATCATCTGTAGTAACAACAACAATAGTAGTATCAAATTAAAGCCTTAATCCCAATAACCAAGGCACTATATATAAGTAAATAAAGTATCCGCAAATTATTAATTTCTATCATAGTAAACAAATAAGTTTAATTTGTTACCTGGTTTGGGTTTAATGACAATGATTCGAATTTGTGGTTAATTGTATGCGCGACACCACTAGAGGATAAAGCTACCATCTCCTGATGACCATACATGCCTAATAATTGCTTTAGAGCACCATTATTGGTGAACAAAAAAAAATGGTTCATGGGTCACTATCACCATTTCTCTCTCATCCACATCAACCCAGCAAACCATTTACAAAATTCACTCTTAACAATAAACACTAAACAATGATTCATCATCAATACTCCCTACCCCACCTTATTTTATTTTTGTAAATATAACCTTTTTGTTTCATAATTATAATTTATTAACCGATGTCAATGTAATTAATTGACGTATTTAATATTTTAATCGTGATTACTAATTAAGAAATTATCGCGTTTTTTTTATCAGCTTTTTAAAAAATTAATTCTTGTGATTAATATTTTTTAAACAACAACGCAGCTAATTTTAATTAACATAAAAAAAGAGGTACAAATCGTGATTACAGTTCTACAACTATAATCTAGTACATTTTATTTAAAAAAAAACACAACTACACATCGTTTTGTAAGATGTACTTAGGGATAACCATTTGTTGTAAACCTAGTTGCCTAAGTTTTCGTTGTTACCAAATTTATTCCATATATGTTCGACCAAGTCGTTTTTTAGCTGCAAATGAGTCTGTTGATCCTCAATCTCTGTTCTACGAGACAAGTATAAGCCGATATCCACAATACGATCAGTACGGTACTCGGTAATGTCCTCATTAGCGTTCCCTCCAGCATTCATAAACTCATTGGTATTAACGTTATTTTGATACGTCTCTCGTTCATCTTCAACGATCATATTATGTATTATGATGCAGGCGAGCATGATATTGTGGAGTATGTCGGTATCCCACGCCAAAGACGGCTTTTTAATAATGGCAAAACGAGCTTGAAGGACCCCAAATGCACGTTCAACGTCTTTTCTTGCAGCTTCCTGGTGTTTTGCGAATAAACGATCCTTATGAGTTTGTGGACTCGTAATGGATTTCACAAAAGAAGCCCATCTAGGGTAGATTCCATCAGTAAGATAATACCCATTCGTATAATGATGACCATTGACTACGAAGTTGACAGGAGGTGTCCGACCCTCTAAGACGTCTTCGAACACAGGGGATCGATGAAGCACATTAATATCGTTGCAGCTACCTGGCATCCGAAAAAACGAATGCCTTTCGCTTCCGGGCCTTATCATAGCTTCCGCACCACTTTAACACGGCTTCAGAGATTCGCATCCACCTTCCCTTCAAACTACTAATAGTTCGTAGGGATATTTCATCTGGATTCGATTCCCTGGCAGCATCGTATGCGTCCAAGACTCTCTTCCAAAATACACCCTTCTTTTGATTTGTGCCGATAATTATGTCGGTGCTGGTGTTCATGTAGCCGGATATAAGAGCCGCAGTTTCTGATCGCGACCAACCTCTATTGTTTGAACCACCAACACGATATTCAGGAGTTGATTGGAGTGGTTGCTGTAACATTTGACTGAAGTTTTGATGGGGAGAAGAAGTTTCATTTCCCTCACCATCATCCTCACATTCTTCATTTGCCTCATCTTCTTCAGATAAGACATTGCTCGATTCCCAAATATTGGGATTCGGTTGTTGTGACGGAAAATAATCAGATGCAGCACCATATTCACCGTAACCCATTGGTATCATGGATGGATGTGGGAAATTTGAACTGCTTTGAGAAAAATTAAAATTTTGAGGGAAATTTGGTGGATTATATGGGAAACTTGACTGGGGTATTTGAGGATAAACTCCAGAAAAATTATGGGGAATATTTGTGGATGTTTGTGAAAAATTTGGGTGAATTGGAGGAAAATTAGCTTGATTCGGGATCATATTTTGACCCAAATTTTTTTATTGCTTTCTATTTGTTTTGGGGTTGGTATTAGCATCCATAATTATAATTTATATTTGGAAAAAATAAAAATTTAATAATAATAATAATAATAATAACGATAATAATAACGATAATAATAATAATAATAATAATAATAACAACGATGATAATAATAATAATAATAACAACGATAATAATAATAATAATGATAATAATAATAATAATAATAACGATAATAATAAAAATAATAATAATAATAACGATAATAATAAAAACAATAATAATAATAATAATAATATTAATAATAATATTAATGATAATAATTAAAAATAATAATAACAATAATAATATTAATATTGGTATAAATAATAATAATAATATTGGTAATTATAGAGGGGATTTTTGAAGAGAAAAATATAGTAGAAAAAAATGAATTTTGAAAGTTGAAAAAAATATATCAATATGGGTGTCTATTTATAGAGGGGAAAAAAATAGAGTCGTTGGTAATTTTTTTTTTTTTTGATTTGTATTTTGTAAAATATATCCGTTGCAAAATTACAACGGATATATTTAAAACAGTGCACACGTGTCAAGCAGCGGCTGGGCCAAGTGGCGCGCTCCCAGCCGCTGATTTCTATTTTTTTTTCTGAGCTTCAACAGCAAAACGACGTCGTTTTGCACCATGAAACAGCAAAACGACGTCGTTTTGCTATAATACCAGTCCAAAATATTGGTGGGGCCCACAGCGAATTAATTCATGGAAATGCTTGCTCCTGCAATCGAACCCATGACCACTCAACATGAACCATTAAAGGTTTGTCATTAAGCCACCACTTTATTTGTTTATTCATTGTGAACAATTAAATAGTTCACCCTTAAAGATGCCCTTAGAAACAAGTAACTTAGAACAAACAAAACAAATAGAAAAGGTACACAAAAACAAAGATTGGAGGCTTTTTACCGGTAAAAACCGATGAGCGGGAAGACAATGGAGTAACTTGGAAATATACTTCCTTGCTATGTTATACTTCCTCCGTTCTTTTAATATTGTACAACTTGCCTCATAGAGAAGTTTTACAATTAATGCACTATTTAAAAATATAGATTATCGTCTGTTTATCAAAGTTGTCCATAAGCAATTAGTCATAAAAATTCATCTTAGAACAAAAAAAATCTCTATTCACAATGAAAATACCCAACATACCTTTATTTTCCACACTTATTCTTTAGTTTATGTTTACATCACATGAGCAATTTTGTATTTTACCTTTCTCTCTATTCCTTTTTCCCACTGAAAAATTATTACTCAACCTATATGAGTATATGTTGCAGTAAATAAGCAAAGGAAGTAGAAGATATGTTGCTACAAATTATGAGCTTCGATTCTGAATATACAGGCTTATTTGTAACATTTTGAAATAGAAAAAGGAAAAATTTTAAATGTATGAGAATGTGGAACAAATAGAATCAATGAATAAAGAGACGAGCAAATTACATTATTTTATCATACACCACTTACATTTCAATGGCTTGTCAAAAAGACTCAAAACCAACATCACAATCCTATTATCTAGTAACTAATGGGCATCCTGCTTCCAATTTCATTCATCCTCTGCTATGAAGTTTGGAGCTTCACCTTGGCAGATGTACTCATCACAAACCGACAACGTCCCCCAACCCTTTCTTAGCCGCAGTATATCTTCAGTGAATGTAGATCCCGATGATCCAATGAACACACTAGACATCGCACATATCGTTTTATCCAGCATGGCTTCCACCTTCATAGTCCAAAAAATGCAAAAGTTACATTGGTAGCAGAAATGGGTAAACTCACAGAATGCATATATATATATATATATATATATATATATATATTATATATATATATATATATATATATATATATACCCAATTGAATGGGAAGAAGGATCAAAGCATGGGTGGTAGCAGAAACAAGTTGACAGCACTGAAAACTTGCAGAACCTTAGTTAAGCACACACATTTTAATTCCATTTTCTCCCCTTACTCAGAAGTCAGAAGTTCGTTAATTTTCCACAAAAATGGTAGCAGATCAAAATAGGCAATTAGGCACAGCCAACATGTAAATCCCCAAAACTTGATAATGCTTATAAGCCCTTAAACACTGGTTTAATTACAGGGGGGGAAAAAATACACTTAACTAATGATACGGATAATAGCAGGTTAAAGATACCATATGGATTCCTTAATATAACGATCAGGTAAGAACAAATAAACTCACCTGGGAATCATCTGCAAGACCATGTCTGTACAGCAAGGCATCCCATTTTTCCGCTGAATTACGAGCTGGCCGCTGAACAAGAGGTACAGGCTTACCATCAATCACAACCAGAGATTGAAGCAATCCTGTTTCACTATCTGCCGCATCTGTGGAAAGATATATGACTGGTGTATTGGCCCTTGCTACCACCCGTGCAACACAGCTTGCAGCTTGAGGAATAGAAAAAAAACAGCTTGGATTCTTAGCATTGCTGAAAACCCAAGTAAACATAAGGTTAGAGGCTGAGCGATGCCGAATACTGTGGCTGTACATTATCAGAAATTGGATAGAACCAGACATACTAGTCCCAAAAGTTCATATATGTTGCAATAGTAGATCAGATGTAGTAAAGACAATATAATCAAGTATATTGCATGCACAACCACAGTGCCAAAGGCTAATGGCCATCAATGAGTGAGTCCTATATAGTAAATCAAATTTGAGTGCATTCAGACAAAGATCCCTTCAGTCCCACAAGAGCTTTATTTCAGACCAGTTGACCTTCAGCAATCATTTCTCAACACTTGCGGTGCTCTCTTAACCTTGATGACATTTAAGAAAATCAACTTGCCTTACAAGTGTTTAGAATTGAGTACATAACTTCAAAGGGAGAAAGAAAAAAAAAAAAAAGGAACTTAGGTGGTCAGTTATGGTGGTTGAAGCAGGAGGAATGGGTGCATTAATAGGGAGTGGTGAGAGCTATTATCTTAATTGAAGATATAAATTTATCACTGCCTTGATCCTACCTCGAATACCACCATTTCCACTCTCTTTTGTGCTCATAATTATCTCTTACTACACCCTTAATTTGTTACTATCTATCCAAGCATGCCATCAGAAGTTAAAATAAAACCCAACAAGCAAGAGGAATGGGTGCATCAATAGGGAGTGTTTATTCATGTTTGCATGATAAAAAACAACATGAATAGATGACACTTCACCACAAAACCTCTGTTACAACCAATTTTTGACTGTTATTGCTTACACGGACAAATTAAAAACAATTCATACATGTTCAAGCAGTTGTACTCTCTAAATCAAAGATATGCAGCACAATGTTATAAAAACAATCTCTGGTCGTAAAGGTAAAACAAGTGAGCCCGTCATTCAGTCACTAAGGAAACAACCCAGAGCAGGAAAGTAAGAATCAAGCTAATAAAAGTATCCAAGTCGGGTATAGCCTGGATTCTGGAACCAGAAAAGGGTACAGGAATTAGTTTGCTACTTAAATTTCAAAGCTTCAAGTTCATAAGAGTAAGTGTTTTACTTTTTTAAGGGATGATTGGCAATGGAAGGAGGGGGTAACAGGTACACTAATCCATATCCAACAAGATTTAGAGATAACACAATACGTAACCACTTATCATCTAAACATACTCTGATTAAAAATGAGGCAAATAATTTACGTATAATAACCTCTGCCTTCTGCATATGATTAAAATAAAGTTAATAAGTAAATAAAAGGTACAAAACATACCAAAACTTTAACCAGCCATGCCTCCGGAAATGAAGGGCAACAAAGTCCTTCCCTAAAAAGGTTTGGACAAAGCGCTGGGCAGTGATCATTATAAGTCGGCTGGGTTCAATCAAAGTTTTGCAATTATGGGCAATCGGACCTCCTGGCTGCATCACCCAGTCCTTTTCCACATCCGCAAAGAACACATCTCCAATTGCAATAACCCCTTCATCAGAAGAAAATTTGGCTTTGACATCTTCAACTGATCTTTTCTTTGGTTTCTTTACATCTTCCTCCCAAGGTGACTCGAGTTTGGGAACGGATAACCCCAGAGATTTCAATTTCTTCACATGCTCTTCATCAACATAACACTTTTGAGGCTGCGAGAAGTAGCAAATGAACCTATCAATACGTAATTCCTTCTTCTTCGCCTCCAAAAACTCTTCATACGTGACAACAGCCTTCTTACCAAGACACTTGTTTATATGCTCAATATCCAACACCCGATTAAACTCATAATCCACCTTATGACTTGGAACAACCAAAATTCGATCCAAAAGCGCTGCAAAAAACATATGCTTCTCCAGGCAAATCAAATGATTCGACATTTGCCCCGACAAACAAATAGCAAACAAGTACTTATCCGACCTCGGATTCCACTCAATGGTTTTCCTCTCAGACAACTTCTGATCCACCTTGCCACAAATATTAACACCTCCCTCTACCATATCATCATTTCCAACACCCAATTCGGAAACATTCCCATTTTTGTGAGTTGACAACAACACCTTTTGAATTTCCTTATTCAACATAATCCCATCAAAAATTTTAGATTTCAAGTCCTCAAAAACAGACTTCTCAACAGGCATCTCACTCAAATTCAAATACCCAGAAGCATTATTATGATTACTAGAACTATAATTCAATCCAAACCCTAATGAAGTTCCCAATGTACTATTCAACAAAGAAATTAAACCTAATTGCTGCTCTTTCAAAAGATACAAAGCCCTTAATTCCGATTCCCTCATTCGATCAGAAGGAGATTTAATCAAATTAACATCCCAAACACTTGAATTATGTAAACCTAACGAAAAAAATAGAAACACAACTAAAAAAAGAATTAAAATCACCAGAAGATACCTCTTCCTGTTCATCTTAAAACGCCGTCGTATCGAAGACACAAAACCAGTATCTTCAACGTGAAAAGGGGAAAATGAGTGTGAATTTGAGGTGGGTTTGACGGCGTCGTTTTGAGGGATCAAGTTCCGGCGATCCTCTTCCTCATCACCTGAAGAATCACCTTCTCTCTCAAGTTCTTTCATCATTGATTTTAACAATTCCTGACAAAAATTCAACAAAATTTCACAAATTCAAACATACCCAGTTGCAGAAATAGCTCAAGGAATCAAAAATTGTTTCTGGGTGTTACAATTTTTGATTGAATCCAATGCAAATTGGAAATTTGTAGGAAATTAGAAGATGGGTTTTGAACTTTTGATTAAGATTGAAATTTCAGGTGGGAAGTTATATTTAGAGTGAAAGATCTGCTCGACAGATAGAGAATAGAGAGAGAGTGATGGTTAAGCTTAATTTGGTTTAGTTGGAACGAAGAATTAAGAAAGAAGCATAATCGAGTAATCATGTGAAATTCGTCGGTGCGACAAGAAAAGGATGAAGATGACAGTTAATCTACACTTCATAACGATAGCCTTGCTTGGTCCATCAATAACTATATACTAAAAGACACATCAATAATGACACGTGTCATCTCTGATGTGTCCTTAGTGATTTTTTTGTATTATTTTTTTTTAAATCTATAATTTAAGGTAACAATTTATCAAAAAAAAATAATATTATTTTATATACACGTTCCATATTAATACGTAGTAATTATTATATTTAAAATAAAAATATTTCACAAATCTTTCTAAAAAAAATTGGACAACTATAAACCAAAAATCATATTCTTAAAATATTTTGTGACCTACTTTACAACAAGAAAAATATTGCTCATTTTTTTTTGCCTACTTTTGTTTTAGTTATGTTATTGACCTTATTGTGTGCATTAGAAGGTACAACTAAAAAATCAACATTTCATATACTTTTATTATTACTCAACTAATTTATGATTATAATATTTATCAATAAATAATCTATAATTATATGTAACTGTAGATTACCGTGCATGACACGGGATCTAACCTAGTTCACCTAATTATTTAAGAGAATAAGGGATAAATCAAGTTTTTTCTTAAAAAGAAAAATGTGCTTAAAGTTAATCTTCTAATTTTATATAATCTCGAGATTGATTTCATCACCCGCCTTTGTGTCTCTATTTACCCCTAAGCTTTTGGTTATATTTAGGAGTTTAGTAAACTTATTGTTTATGTGTATTTTAGAAATGATCTGATCCGATCTAATCTAATCTAATCTGATCAAATCATATATTTAGACTATTGTAAAGTATTTTTTTATTATATAAAATGAATAATAATGAATTTCATCATTTTTTTTAAGAAAAGTATTTGTATGAAATAATAAAATTTGACACTTTTTTAAGTTTATTCAAAATACAAAATCACATCATAATAGATTAGACGACATATATTTGGTGTATGAATTTCGATCGATCAATGTTCGATAAATACATGAAATGCTACTAGTTATTTAAGATTGATTTAATTAGATTTCAAATTTTCAACTGTGTAAGCTTGATTTAGATTTCAACGTGAAACTTGTGTTGTAAACTTGAAAGCAAGAAGGTAAAAGCAAAACAAACTATTTATCACTTAAAAAAAAAAAAGGGATCAATGTTAAAAGAATTAGATACATGACCTCAAATCGACAAATTATGATCACGATGAAATTGGCAATTTTGTGCAACCTTGTGAGAATTGACATGTTATCAATATGCTTCTATTTCCAAACTTGGATAGTTCATAACTTCATATCATGTTAATGAACAATTAAGGCTTTGTTAGTTTGATTCAAAATTAATATATCTAAACCTATCTGTTTCAACTTAAGATATGGGTTGATCTACTTTATTTTAAGTTATTCATTGTAATCGAACTTGTTTTGGCTAACTTATTTTTTTATACGGAATGCTAAAGTTCTTTGCTAAGCCGACTTAATTTTGGGTGAGTTTGGACATATTTTTAATGGTTGCTTTTGGCAGGTTTGGGTACTTTGTAGATTTATTTTTTCATTTAGAATATTTAGTGTGATTAAATATGTATGATTATGTACTTTTTATTCAGGTGTTTAACTGTTAGGAAATGTGCACCAGTGAATATATAGGTTCATAGGTGTTGAAGTGTAACTTTCTAACAGCGCATGTGATTTAAGTGTTCTGCATTGATGTAAGAAGAAAGAGCTAAACACTTAAATTATGATCTAAGGCTAAGGTGCTACATAATCCTCCTATTGTCATACAATTTTGAAATGAAACCTCCTTAAACTTATTGATTAAAATCCAAATTTCTAGTGCACCTTTAATCAAATCATAACACGTATTATAACATGGAGGGAATAAAGAGAGAGCCCGGAAAAACAGCCACATCATAGTCAAGAAAAGAAGACACGTATAGTTATGGTTATATGCATGTCTTACAGCAAGCATTTTCTATACCTTCTTTCACTATGCCTAGGTGCATGCTCCACTCTAGTTTAAGTTGAACTCTCTAGCAATTCTCAAAAATTATACAAAGTTATTTTACTAGTTTTTGAAAACTTAGAACAAAGAAAAATGAAGGTTGTGTCACCAATGATGTTGGCTCTTATGTTAAGAGAGAAAAGACCTGCTAATAATACTATGATTAACTATGATTTTGTGAAAAATAGGACTCAACAACAACAACATAGATTGATGGTGGGAAGAGCTAGCAATCGGTCCGGGGTCCATGGCACTCATCTACCTGCTACAGATGACATTGATAATGTATGTTATTACCTCCTTATTAATTTGTTACTTTCTCCTTTTCTGATTCATCTTTTTATATACAAAAAGCGGGACAGATGATTTGTTTAGCAACAGAAGGTGTATTGTTCATATATACTTCGTATTACCGGTCCTTTATTATTGTATAAGTAGTAACATACTAGAAAATCTATGGTATTTGAATAAGAAAATACTGACCGATAGAGTAGTATATGCAACTATTAATCCCTAATTTTCGTTGTAGGTGGAAGTGGAGAAGGAGATCAAGAAAGGTAAAAAGGATAAAGAGGAGAAGAGGAAAGAAGTTGAGGAAACTGTTGACTCACACCTTAGCCGTTCTGGTCAAGATCAACACCCCAAGTCTTCCCCTACCAAATAGTTCAATTTCTTTTTTTCTTTCTTTTTTTTTTAATTTATTTTATTTACAAAAATCTTTTTCCATTCTAGAATATGCAAGTTTCTTTGACTTATCTATGTTTGGCATGCATGTGCATAAAAAAAGTCATGCTTAACAAGAAATTGTAAATTTGAACCAAATTTCTCCAATCTCCATAATATAAGAAATAATACTTGTATGCTCTTTTCATCTTTATGGTTCATAAAGGTGTGAAGGTTGACAGTCTAACACATCGTGCTACCATCATATTACACTCCGTATATATAAACCAAGTAGTCCATATGTGAGTGCTTTATACTTAAAATCAATTTGGAATTATTAATTGTTGGATCTCCAATAATTATCAATATTAATGAAAACAAATCGAGCTCATCAGATAGAGGTATGTAGTGTTCCTAGGTTAACACTTTTTTTTAAAAAAAAAAGAAATAGAACTTGCAAAAAAAAAAAAAAAAAAAAAAAAAAAAAAAAAAAAAAAAAAAACACTAGGACTAGAGGTGACAAATAGTTTGTTTAAATCGGATCTATTCATCAATAGATTATACATATCTAGGTAAGGAAAGTTGCAAGTTGTCTAAGATTAATTCAGGTAAATGTTGTATAAATTTGAGTATAAGTTAGGTCAGGTCAGTTTCTAATCATTCAATATCGGCGGTACATGTTAGATTTGGACCTCTAATCATCCAATTTTGGTCACAGTTTAAGTCCATCATGTCAATTTTGCGAAAAATATGTTCTTATTGTACCTTGAGCTTCATTATTATTAGGTCAAAATTTACTACTTTGTATATTGTTTAAAGAACGGTTAATGATAATATATTGTCTAATTAAGAAATGAGGGTATGTAGCTCCCAAGTTGGTACAATGGCACACACATGCACACTCGAAAAGCCACTATTGCAAGTGTGCAATTAAATAAAAATTGCATCATTTAAACTAGTAAAACTACAAAATAGGCCCTAGCAAATACTCCATACGGAGTAATTAATTCAAGTAATCAGGTTAACCTAGGATATTTAATAATAATAAACACTAAAAAGTATGAAAGATAATATAGAAACGTACCAAAAAAAATACAAAACGCAACTAATCAAATTGGCGGCCTATGTACCCATCGATGATCAATGATGGCTAAAGATTAAAGAAGCTCCGTATATTACTATAGTACTTGCTTAAGTCATTCTCAATTTGTTTATTTAAATTTGATTATTCTAGTTGACTTTTCAATTTATTGAACCTTCTAATTTTGTTCTTCTAAATTTACCATTCCATATTCATCAAAATGTCAATTAATTTCTCCTCTATGTTTCTAGTCAAAATACAAGACTAATTCAATTTTTATTTTCAAAGTTGGCCTATTTGGCCATATGTATAGTAGTTTCCACTTTGTCCACCAATATTCAGTTAATTTGACCCTTTTACAAAATCATAGCTATATTATACATCATACGTAGTACATGATATAAATTCCCAATTTCATAAGCCTGATTTAAATTGCTTCTCACTTTCCTTTCTCTTGGAAAAAATTTGGAAAATTATTGCTGGGAAATTTCCTCTGTTTTTCTTGCTCTCCAAACTTTCGCAAATTTCAACACATATAAACCCCCCTTATTATTACTTTTTTGTACTTAATTTGAGTTCAAACAATTTTTTATATGGGTTTTGCTGGAATTCTCACAATTTTTTCAATCTGGGTTGTGCTTTTGATTTTATAAAATTCAAAAATTCCTTTCTGGGTTTTATTCTTCTCTTCAAAATCTCATTTGGGTTAATCTTATTTTACGTTAATTTTGTGTATTTTAGTAGAATTGATCAATTATTACAAGCTAAAAAGTGTCAAAAATGGTGGGTATGGATGGAATGTCACCATCTTCAACGAATGATGCAACTGTATATGCAGCAGCTTCAATATCAACACAAATTATGATTGCAACTGTAATAGTCCTCTTCTTTGTAGTAGCCCTTTGTTTCTTCCTTCATATGTATTGAAAGTCTAACTGGCTAATACAAGAGGGGGGGTGAATTGTATTTGAGGTGAAATCTAAAAACTTTTTGCGGAATTTAACTAAATGAAATAGTGACGAGAGAAGATATAGGCTTTTCTAAATTTCCACTAAGTAATCAAACTCTTTACAAGTGAAGATTCAAACCCGTTAACAAGTTCCACAAATTAGGAACTTGTTCCCAACTCTCACAGAAGACTTCAGCAACGAAGCTTCCTTGACCTCACTTTACAAACTCACAATCCCAACCCCTAAGTACTTGAATACAAACTGTGATTACAAATACCTATTGCACTCAAGAATATAAGAAGGATAATAACTCTCTTTATGTTATTAGATAGCTACTGGAATTTTTATGCTTAAGAGTTATATCTTTCTGAGATAGTTTGCATGAGTATTTATAGAGAAGGCTTAGTCATTAACCTCCACTATAATCACGTCCACATGCCAACAACCCACTAACAACTTGTGGAGTTATCTTGACAGATGGTAATCATGAAGAGGTTTCCTAGCCTTATCTAATTAGTCCACTATCTTAAACAACTTGATAATCATTAGCCGTATAAAGATTTTCACACAGAAAAACCGCTTGCTATCCTTATCAAATATTTGTTTAAAAAGATTATCAAAAGTTTGTTTAAAAAGATTTTATTTGAAAAGATAAATTTATTATTTATTAAAACAACTAGATAATTATCTTCGATAATTATCTTTATTAAAACTTTTACAAATTATCTTTTCTTTAAGAAATTATCTTTTAAAACTAACTTTTATTCCAGTAGTCTTTTTAACATAAGTCATTGAGTTCCTTTCCGACTTTATAATATTGAGTGCTCACAATTAAAACTAGAACGTGAGATTTGCACGAGGCTTTTTAGAGAATGCTACTCCGCATCCAAGTTCCTACTCCGGAACGAACTTTGCTTGAATCCTTTATTCACCAAAGACTCAAAACATTCATTAGTCGAGTTTGTCAATTTGTCCATCAAAACCAAAAGGCTCAACAAATTCCCCCTTTTTGATGATGACAAACATTGACAAACTTAGGTAAATAAAATCATCCAGGCATGCAACAAAAATTTAAAGTAAGGCATGAAAACAAAAAAAAAACAATTAAAGAACTTAGAAAAATATTAAAAAGTTTTTTTTTTTTTTTTTTTTTTTTTTTTTTTTAAAAAAAAAAAACTGAGCAAAAGAAAAATTAACAAAGACTTTAAAAACTGAACTTAGAAAAAGTTTGTACCTTCGATGTGTGAGTTCCTTGGTAAACACTTTAGCCGCCATGAAGTTTGTCTTTTCCCCCTTTTGGCATTATCAAAAGATTGAAAAAAAACATTTTGCTATACTCCCACTAGACTACGTAGGGAATAGTGAGCTCAAATAATGCAAGGCAAAAATAAGTTAGGTACTAAATCATCAGCAACCTCACACAATCATATGAAAAATACGAGCCAAGTTCCGATTTAGGAAATAGAAGAGGAACATAGAGAATGTAGCAAAGGATAAAGGCGTACAAACCACAGTTCAGAGAGATTAAACAAGACCAAAATAAAATTGTTCAACATATGAAATTAGAATAAGTGCAATCAAGGATTTAAAAGGCTGCATTGGTAGGATCAAGGGTTGGATTTGTGGGATCAATAGAGTCTTCCTCGACTTCCTCAAAGGCTACTCTGTTGATAGTTTCCAAGATCTCTTTGTTGCCTTCACTAAACTTGCCTTCAGCCTGTGCAAGCTTTGCCTCTACGCCTGCAAATCCGGTTGCTTGAGAATCTGCCAGAGCCTGCACCTGGCCTTTAAGAGAAAGCAGTTCCGAGGCCATTTCCTCCAGTTTCTTGCTCACCAGAGTAGTCAACTTCTCCATATCTGCTTGAACCTGTTGAAAATCATAAACAGACACACGAGTTCCAGAGAAAGCAGCAAAGCCAGTAGGCTGAAATGGAGGAGGAGAAGGTGAATGAGGAGGCTGCCTAGTAGATGAGACAGGAATAGAAGAGGGTTCAATGGCAAAGGGGACTTGGGTAGGTTTGAAGGTGGGATCAGATTTGTCTGAGGAGCTGATGGTTTCTACAGTCACAGGGTGTGTAGTAGAAAGGGCAGGCTTGACCACATTCCTCTTACTTCTTCTAAGGCCCCCTGTAAACACAGGAATGACAGGTGGTCCAGCTGTGCTCTCAGAGTCTGTGGTATGTTCCCCCTCACTTTGATCAGTTCCCTGCCCCTCATGTGAGTCAGATTTTCGAGCTTCCCCCTCAGAAACTTCCTTATGTTCCCCCTCAGAATCTTCCTGTTTTTCTCCTTGCACATCTCCCTCAAGTATTTTTTCTTTGTTTTTCTCTCCGTTAGAACTTTTTTCTTCTTCCTTATCTCCCTCAGAATCACTGGAGGTGGTAGCACCCTTACTAGCAACCTCACTACCCTGGTCACTGCCCTCCTCATCACTTGCGTCACATTCTTCCTCAGCTTCTTTCCCTTTCCCTTTCTTTTTCTCCCCTCCTTTCCGAGGCACAAAACATACTTTGCCATTTGTAAGCCTAAGACTCAGTCTAAGTAATGATTGTTCAGAGAGGATATTATCGGGTTTGAGATATGTTGGGGATTCACATTCAACATCAATACCAAAAGATTTGACCAACACAGTAAGGAAAGAGCCATATGGAATTGTGGTCTTTTGAGCATAAAAATTCAAGTGTTCAATCATTAGAGCAGGGAAATTAATCTGTATTTTGCATGCAAGACAGAATATGAGGGAGGCATCCAAGAGTGATACGGTACTCCGTTTTTGTAAACGGGGTACTATACCCTTCCAGGTGAAGGTAAACAGTAGCTTATGAAGGGGTGTTAGGGCATGATGGTGAGTAGTTTTCACTTTCGGATTTCCTCCAATAAATTGAAGGATTTTGCATTCATCATTATGGCCAATATTTACAGATTGTTTGTGCTTTAAATAAGAACAATAGCCTTTAACAGGAACTTGAAATAGATTTCCAAGATAATTGGCATCAAACGAAATTGGAATATCATTAACTACGGCCGAGCACACACCATTATCACATTGAAAGGTATTTTTGAACTCATAAATAAGTTTAGGATAAACAGGGTAATGAGAACAATTCTGGAACAAGTGAGTCCATTTTTGATAATCAATTAAAGAAGTAAATTCAGTGAACTTACTCGCCACACACCAATCATAGTTGATGTGATATCCGAGAGTGTAATTCCATGATGGGAATTTGGTGGTTGCGCGCCGTTTCCTGTCGCCGCCCTTCACAACCTTAGCCTTCCTCTTTGGCTGAGCAGATGGATGCACCATCGCAATTGGCACCGGTTGTGGAGACCCCGTGTTTGAGGAGGGTTTGGATGGTGGTGATCGGGTTTTTGGGGTGGTGTTTCGGTTGGTTTTCATGGTGTTGAAGGTAAAATGAAGGGAAGGAGAAGATGAATAGTGTGAATAGGAAGGAGAGAGAGTGAGGCTGGTTATGGGAGTTTATGGGGAGTTTAATTGATTTGATAGGTGAAGGTGGAGTGAAAAGAAGAAGAAGAGTTTAATTGGGAGGAGTGAGAAAGAAAAATGACGGTTTAAAAGGTGAGGTAGTGGAGTAGTTTTAGAGGTAGTAGGATTTAATTTGGTGAAATAATTGCACTCATCTAATTCAATGTTGATAAAATAAAATCGTAAGTTAAGGAGTTGATATACATGCTTCTTATCTTACGTAACAAATAAAAGCAGAACTGAACAAAGGAAAATAAGGAGGAAAAAAAAAGATAAAAATATGAATAAAAGATAAGAATAAAAGATAAAAAAAATAAGGAAGGCAAAAAAGATAATAATAGGAAGGAAAACAAATTAACAATATAAAAAAAATGGTAAGTGCAAATGGATTGTAAATTATGATGATAATTTACGTGATCATAATACAGAGAATAAAGAATGATGAAAAGGGAACTTGAAACAACATGGCTCAATATTTTTAACATATTAAAAGTATGTATAAGTGACTTTTCAATACTTCACAAATCTTTTCCCTGGGTAATTTCAGCTGTGTTATGCACACAAGATTGAGCATAGCATTGTTAGTTACATCCGATTTTACCTTAGGGGTTCCAAACAAAAATCACTTTAGCCGTAGCATCCCCAATTCCACACGCATCTTTTCAAACTTGTCTCTGCTTAAAGGCTTAGTTAATATATCAGCAATTTGACATTCAGTAGAAATAAAATCTAGCCTAATTAAGCCCTTTTTCAAGAAAGTCATAAACATATCAAAAGTTTCATCTTTACTATGTAAGAATATGACCCATGTAAATCTAGAATAATCATCCACAAGAACTAAGACATATATTTTTCCACTTCTACTTTGAATTCTAACGGGGCCACACAAATCCATATGAATGAGTTCCAATGGTTTTGTGGTGCTTACCATTTTCTTTGATTTAAATGATGATCGAACATGCTTTCCTTTGATGCAAGCTTCACAAATTTTGTCATTTAGGAATTTGATAGAAGGTAATCCGATTACCAAGTCCTTTGACCTTAATTTGTCAAGCAATGAAAGACTAACATGTCCAAAACGTCTATGCCATAGAAGTGGATCATCCTCAATAACACTTAAACAGGATAGATTGTATTTTGGAACTTTGTTAAGATCCACGGTATACGTGTTCCCTTTACGAGTTTCTTCCAAAACGATTTTTCCAGTGTTATTGTTGATGATTTTGCATTTTTCAGATGAAAAGCTTACAGAGTTTCCTTTATCACAAAGCTGAGATATACTGAGTAGATTATGCTTCAAACCTCGAAAAAATACATTGTCAATTGCATGGGAACTTGACCTTCCTACTTTGCCAACAGCAACAATGTTGCCTTTCTTATTGTCTCCAAAGGTCACTGTTCCCCCTGTATAGGCCGTCAGTGAGAGAAATCTGGATTCATCTCCTGTCATGTGCTTAGAACAACCGCTATCGAGGTACCACTGGTTGTTCCCCCTCACTGCGACCTGCAAAAGAAATTAAGGGTTAGTAGCAGGAACCCTTTCATTCATGGGTTCCTGTGTTGACACATTTAAATCAGATTTCTTCTGCCAAACATAGTTCACATTCTTATTGTACAGATTTGCTTTCTTAGTACATTCTTCACTGCGATGTTCCTTTTTACCACAAAAAGAACAAACGGTCTCACTAGGTAAGTTCACATATTTCTTTTTCTTTCCAGTGGACTTCTTCTTATGAACATAGCCTAGACCTTCTGTTCTTTTTGTCTGAGCTTCCTTTACCCACTTGGGAACACCCGTGCTTGCTGTATTTTTACTTTTTCTTGCAATTTCTAGGTCCTTTTCTAGTTTCTCATTTTTATCATTGGTTTCCTTTATCTCTTTCTTAACATGCTCTAGTTCATTATTAAACATGATTAAAGGAACTTCAGTAGACCTGCAAGAATCAATGTTAGTACACAACATTTTATATTGAGTCAATTCAATATTCAGCATGATATTCTCACTCTTGACTCTTTCAAGGGATTCTTTTAGCATAATATTTTTATCTAACAATTCAAAGAATCTGCCTTGAACATCATTTCTTAAGCTATTCAGATACTTAACATGATCTCTACAAATTCCAGTTGCCTTTTCGGCTTGCCTTAGTTTTGCACATAATTCTTTATATTCATCTAAGGTTTCTAACAATAAAGAGATTAATTTATCCTTTGAGAGAGATTTCAAATAACTAGGTTGAATGACTACCTCATCATCATGCTTTGCCATTAGACAGAGATTGGCTACTTCATCGTCTGTGTGTTCCTGTTCCTCTTCTTCGGAACTTGATTCTCCCCACGTGGAAATCATTGCTTTCCTGAAATTTGTTTTAGAAAAGTTAGGCTTGGAATTTCTGCTTTGATCAGCTTCTTTTCCCTTGCCTTTCTCAGATTTCCATAATGGACACTCTTTGATGAAGTGGTTGGTGCTTCCACATTTGTGACAAGAAGACTTGGCTTTGGGTTCCTGATTTCTTTTACTGTATCCTTTCTTCTTGTCTAAAAACTTGTTGTTACGGTAGAATTTTTTCAGCCTTCTCACCAACATTGCAGCTTCTTCTTCATCGATGTCAGACTTCTCTTCGGATTCTTCATTAGCTCTTAATGCTAGCCCTTGACTTTTGACAGTCTCCTGAGTCCGATTGTTCGACTGGATCTCGTGAGTAATGAGGGAACCCGCAAGCTGTTCCAGATTGAACTTGGTGAAGTCTTTTGATTCCTGCACCGCTGCAACCTTTGCTCTCCATCTGTCATTGTCTGGAAGACTTCTTAAGACTTTTCTGACCTGCTCATCTATAGGAATTATCTTACCAAGACACGTTAGTTCGTTAGTAATACTTTTAAATCGAGTAAACATGTCTTTAATGGATTCTTTGTTTCCCATTTCAAAGCGCTCATACTGAGATAAAAGAATATCTATTTTGGAACGTTTAACATCTGACGTTCCTTCATGTGTAACTTCCAGAAGATCCCAAATTTCCTTTGCGGATTTGCACCCTTTGACACGAGTATGTTCATTGGGTCCAAGTCCCCAAATTAGAAACTTTTTGGCAGTAGCATTCATTTCTAATTTTTCGAAATCAGTTTTTTCATATTCATCCATAGGTTTAGGGATTACCTCATTGTTAGCATTCGTTTTCGTAATTTCGTAATCTCCTACTTGTATAATCCGCCATACCTGATAATTCTCTGCTTGGATGAAGATTTCCATCTTATCCTTCCAATAAGGATAATATTTGCCGTTGAAGTATGGAGGCCTTTGAATGGATGTACTCCCGAATTCCTTTTCCTCTGTGTAAGCCATTTTCCCAGGAACTTACTCAACAGGGTTGCCTGCGTGCTCTGAGTTCCCGCTCTGATACCAACTGAAAGTCTAACTGGCTAATACAAGAGGGGGGGTGAATTGTATTTGAGGTGAAATCTAAAAACTTTTTGCGGAATTTAACTAAATGAAATAGTGACGAGAGAAGATATAGGCTTTTCTAAATTTCCACTAAGTAATCAAACTCTTTACAAGTGAAGATTCAAACCCGTTAACAAGTTCCACAAATTAGGAACTTGTTCCCAACTCTCACAGAAGACTTCAGCAACGAAGCTTCCTTGACCTCACTTTACAAACTCACAATCCCAACCCCTAAGTACTTGAATACAAACTGTGATTACAAATACCTATTGCACTCAAGAATATAAGAAGGATAATAACTCTCTTTATGTTATTAGATAGCTACTGGAATTTTTATGCTTAAGAGTTATATCTTTCTGAGATAGTTTGCATGAGTATTTATAGAGAAGGCTTAGTCATTAACCTCCACTATAATCACGTCCACATGCCAACAACCCACTAACAACTTGTGGAGTTATCTTGACAGATGGTAATCATGAAGAGGTTTCCTAGCCTTATCTAATTAGTCCACTATCTTAAACAACTTGATAATCATTAGCCGTATAAAGATTTTCACACAGAAAAACCGCTTGCTATCCTTATCAAATATTTGTTTAAAAAGATTATCAAAAGTTTGTTTAAAAAGATTTTATTTGAAAAGATAAATTTATTATTTATTAAAACAACTAGATAATTATCTTCGATAATTATCTTTATTAAAACTTTTACAAATTATCTTTTCTTTAAGAAATTATCTTTTAAAACTAACTTTTATTCCAGTAGTCTTTTTAACATAAGTCATTGAGTTCCTTTCCGACTTTATAATATTGAGTGCTCACAATTAAAACTAGAACGTGAGATTTGCACGAGGCTTTTTAGAGAATGCTACTCCGCATCCAAGTTCCTACTCCGGAACGAACTTTGCTTGAATCCTTTATTCACCAAAGACTCAAAACATTCATTAGTCGAGTTTGTCAATTTGTCCATCAAAACCAAAAGGCTCAACATGTATGTCAAATGTTTTTGGGCACATAATAATGAAGACCCTGACGTGGTGTCATGGCGCCGCCAATTAGCCGGTCAGCGCCGTGCTGCAGCCGTCCCTGCGCATCGCCGAGGTTTAGACCCTGCCGCGCTACGGTCGTTGCCTATTCTGGTGTACAACCCCAAGGATTTTAAGGATGGATTAGAATGTGCTGTTTGTTTAAGTGAAGTGTCAGAAGGAGAGAAAGCTAGGCTTTTGCCTAAATGTAATCATGGGTTTCATGTTGAGTGTATTGATATGTGGTTTCAATCTCATTCAACATGTCCACTTTGTAGGGATTCTGTTATCTCTACAACTAGTAATTCGTCGAATGATGATGCTAATAATGATCTTGAGTTGCAAGATGATGATGGTTTGTATTGGTCGGATTCTAATTCGGATTCTGATGATGCTACTCCAAGGGCAGCAGATGCACCTAATTTTCCTACAAATGTTCTGTTTTGGGGTGATGAAACTCGAGTTAGCGCGTTTGGACAAGGTGCAAATGCTGCTGCTGATGCCTCTTCATCAGCATCTTCTTCTGGTGTCAATAGGCCAAGATTGGATGAGATGGTGATTGATATACCAAGTCGCGAGTTTTGTGAGGATTGCTTGTCGTCGCCACCACGAGTGGAGGAGGCGAAAACTCCGGTGATGACGAGGTTGAGATCGTTGAGGAGGTTGTTAAGTATGGGACAGGGGAGTAAGGTGGCTCCCTCTAATTGTGAAGTTGATCAACAAGCTTAAACCACAAATATTCAAGTTTGTTGATTGCAATTTGATCATGTATAGATTTTATTTACTCCGTACCAATTTTAACAAATTTATTTACTTGGTATATAAGATGGGTGATTGGTGGTTTTCTTAAATAAAAGATGAAAAACCCCGCACCCTCATAGCCTCATAGCTAGGGTTCTTAGTTTTCTTACAATGATTTATTCTTTTGTTAAATGTAATACTTTAGTTTACCAGCTAGACGTTTTAATGTTCGTAAGAATATATTGCCCTGTGTTATGAAATAGGACCCTTTTTGGGACTTTGAATTTGATTGAGGAACAATGCAAAGCTAAATGAGAAAGCAATTAAAAATGAACAAAATAAAACACACAAGATTTATAGTGGTTCACTCAAAATGAGCTACATCCACTTTTGGGGAGATTGGAGCTTGTATTACTCTTCAATGGAGGAAGAATTACAATGGAGAAAGATGGTGTTCTTGGTGAGCTAATTTAAGATCTAAGTCTCACTTGTGTTTCTCTCTCATACTCTCTACAATGAAAAACAAGAGTATATATAGTGCAAGATGAATCAACGGTTAAGATTACATCCCGAGCAAAATAAGAAGAAATCGCAGCGCTGGAACAGGGGCTCGAAGGTTCGACCGAACCTACCCAGAGTTCGTTCGAACTTAGTGTGGCTCGGTCACACCACCATAGGTTCGACCGAACCTACTCTAGAAATGAAAAGAGCATCAGTTCTGCCTAAAGGTTCGACCGAACCTATTAAATGGTTCGGTCGAACTCCCCCTGCGCGGACAGCACTTCTTTAAACAGCCATAACTCCCTCGATTCTTAACCAAATCAAGCTTATGACCAGTCGTTGGAAAGATTTTGAGAAGAGCTATCACCTCCAACTTGAATCATCTCAATATCACTTCTAGATCTTGAGATATGCTCATTTTAAGTCAGCCCTTTCCATGCTTCTTTGATTAAAGCCCCAAACACCATAATACTAAAGCATATATCAACATGGAGCATTCAAGGCACACATATAACACCCTGTATTTTGTGCAAGACACCATAACTAGGTATGATCTCTTGAGAATCAAGATTATTATTTTCTCATATCCAACATTTTAACTACTACATATATACGTTTGTGGATTTCTTATGAAGCGACACATATACACCCTTAATTTCTAAACATTGTGTATAAGGGTCTGTTCTCATACGATTATTTTCAGTTCAGCTCTAATAAATTCAGCTCAGCTCAGCTCTAATAAGTTCAGTTCAATAATTCAGCTCATTTCAGTCAATGAGAACAGGCCCTAAATACGAATAATATTTTTCTATATTAAAATAATAAAAATAAAATCAAATTCCAATTATTACATTCCTGTCTTCCATCAACATAATTTTGGTATTGTTGGGGATGAATTGGAGCAAACTATAGGATGATTTTAGGCATGTGCATGGTAATCTATTGTACACACAAAGATCCTTACCTCAAATTATATTTTATCTTAGTTTAAATTAGCATGATATTGATAAGATCGAAATTTTCAAACAATTTTTTTTAAAAAAAAATTTAAAAAAAATGTGAGTTTTATACAAGCCTTGTAATTATCCTCCCATATCATTGGACCTACTCTTGTCTTAAACTAAAATCAGTTGCTTTTGCTTGTGGGAGTATAGTTCTTTCATCAGCATATGCATTAATATATTTATCCAATTCAATTTAAATTAGGGGAAGTCATGTCACTTTTAATTTGTTGTGCTGATTTTAAAGTTTATAATGATGTATTAATAGTCATTGCTTTACATAAGAAAATAATTATAATTAAGGGGACGTCATTGTTCTTTTGTTGCAAGTCTTGTAACATCTCTCGCAATTAGGAATTGGTTTGACTGATGAATGGAAATTTGGGGATAATGATCCACATCAACTGTGAAAATGATTGCAAACAGTACTTTTTAGAGGTGATTTTATTTTTAAAAGTTCATGCTAAAAGCCAAGAAATTAAAAAAAATAAAAAATAAATAAATAAATTATACATAAAACTTGATTATTAATATAAATAAAATAAAAATTAGTTTATACTTTATAGATGGCAAATTTGCTACAAACTTTGTTTTAGGTTCTAAAAAAGTTCTTTTTTACCTCTTATTAGAAATCGTTGTAATTGGATAATAAGTATTCGTATCATTTAGGAATGGCTGTTGCCAATCTTGTGACTTAGTCTCACTTAATTTAGTTGATCAACATTTTTGTAAAGAGTTTTGACTTTCTTTAGTCAAATTTTGTATCCAATAATTCGGTCCAACTTGACTATTAATGTCAAAAATGTGTATTTTACTTGGGGAAATTCCCTTCCCTGTTTCTCATGGTGAGAAACAAGATTTGTTTTTCATGGGGGCATTTTTGTGAATAAATCAACAGCTTTTTCATTATTGTGGGTTTCACAATTGAATAAAGTTGTTGATTTATTAACAAAAATACCATGTGAGAAACAAATTTTGTTTCTCATCATGAAAAACTGGGACATCTTCTTTTACTTGGATTGATAACTTGACTATCAATGTCAAAAGGCTGCTCTATAGCAATTAGCAAAATATTGTGCAATTGATTTACCATCTTTCTCCAAAAAAAAAAAAAAAAAAAAAAAAAAAAAAAAAAAAAAGGGGCTCCTTTTAACATAACCTTATTTGGTTGACTCATGTCTAAATTGGGCTAATTATCATTTTAATTAACTCCGTGTTTTGCCAATAATAGACATCACTTAGTTATTGTTCATCTCACAATAATTCCTTCAACCTCTTCCAAACGATCATATGCCTATGTTGCGACCTGATTCGGACCGGACCCGGAATCCTTGAATTTCAAGGAACGGGACTGGACCTAAATCTACAAGTCCGAATCAGGTTCGATTTCGGTCGTTTCAGGTTCGATCTTGTTTATGTACACCCCTATATTACAATACGAGTAATATAACATAGTTTAGAGATCATTCATGTCTACTTATTTAAAAGATACACACAAAAGATATTTTCTACAAATTATTTGACATATAATTATTTCAATTAATTGATGTTCAAAACGTCTAATTTTATTAGACAAATAATTGCTTCAATTAATTGTATGTTCAAAACATCTCATTTTATTAGACATATAATTACTTTAATTAATTGCATATTTAAAAAGTCTCACGTTGTTGACAATGAATTTATAGCTTACAAACTTGTCATCATGACTTAGTTATATACTTCATTTAATCATGCTTTTCCGGAAGAAGTTAATCTACACAATCATCGACTTTACTCATATAGTCAATTTTAATTTATAACCAAAGTTTATTGACATGCACAATATTCATTTTGTAACTTATTCATAGTCCTACAAGAAAAATAAAAACATGTGCCATTGCATTATTGCATTAGTAGTACGAGTAAGTAGTTATAGAAGTACTCCTTTAAAACCACACAAAATAAATGCTTTGGTTCATAGTCAAACTAGTCACAATCAAACTCGTATTTTCTCTAAGTAATTTTAAAAAGCATACAATAATTTTTTTTTAAATAAGAAATCAACTATCATTGCAATATAATCATTTTAAAGTTCTCAACCATTTATTCGAAATAAAAAACTTTACATTAATAATAACTATGGAATATCAAAATTGACAATATGGTTCAATGCATTTGATTATTCATTTTCGTAGGACAAATCTATCCCAACCAACCAAGCAAATCATACACTTTCTACATATCAAAATTTAGTTAAGGTTTTAAGGAGCAGAGTAAACAGTACCATAGGTTTTGGCATCATATTCATGCTCATTAAGCCTCTGTATAATAACATATGGTATGTTATCCTCCCTCTTCCTCTGATTATTGTAGATTTTTCCATTCATGGACATTTGCTCAAAATATTGATACAATCATGGGCTTGTAAAATTTGGGCCACAATCCCAACAGACTACGTTGCACAACATTTTTTCTGGGTTTGAGAGGGTAACGCCTTTAAAAGGGGAAGAGGAGAAACGGGGAAGATAAGAAGGTGGCATGGTTGAAAAGGGGGAAAATAAGAAGAAAAATACTAAAACTGGGGTTTCAAATTCTTGGAAACCATTAATTTCCACCAAATTATGGTTTGGGGGGTTTGGACTTCCCTAACGGCGTTAAATCTGCCAATATCACCATCTGTGTAGAAGGCGTTACCACTTCTACTCAGATTGGTGAGTAATTGTTGGATTTCCCTAACGACTTTAAATCTGCCAATATCACCAGCAGTGTAGAAGGTGTTACAACTTCTACTCAGTTTGTGGGTTTTTTTTTTTTTTCTTTTCTTTTGGTAATTGAATATCTGGGAGAGTTTTTGGCATGGATTTGGATGGTAAATTGGTAATAGTTAATAGACATTGTTTTTTGCAATTTTCAATTCTTAGTGGATATTGATGGTAATTGGATTATGGAAAGAATTTTTGCAGTAATTGGGTGGTAAGATAGATATTTAAGAATTGTAAATGATGAACGTAGAATTAGTGGAAAAATGAAGGATTTAATTATTTTTACTTGACTGAAATTATTTTTATTTAATACTATTTTTTTTTTTAAAGGTGAAATGAACAGGGCCTAACTCTCACTATAATAATTGGATTAGCAGTAGTTGTAGTAGGAAGGCTTGTATTGAGAGTGGCTTGATGGGTATTTGTATTTGTGTCTTGCATGCACCAATTGAAAGCACATATATTTATTTATACTTGTGCAATGACGGTGGAGCCATGAAGTAAATGTTGATTTGAACATGCTAGATTATTCTAGCATATAAGATTGAATTAAGAAGATAATTCTAGAAAATAGATTTTTTTTCATCCACAATATTGATACAATCATAGGCTTGTAAAGTTTGGGCCACAATCCCAATCAACAGACTAGGGAAGATGAGAAGAAGAATGCTAAAAACGGGGAAGATAAGAAGGTGGTTGAAAAGGGGGAAAATGAGAAGAAAAATGCTGAAAATGGGGTTTCTAATTCTTGGAAACCATTAATTTACACCAAATTATGGTTTGGTGGTTTGGATTTCATTCCCTAAGGGCGTTCACTGTATGGTTTCTTCCACCCAGATTTGCCAAAATCACCAGCTGTGTAGAAGGCGTTACGACTTCTACTCAGTTTGGTGAGTAATTATTTTAAGTTTAATTAATTTTTTTTTTTAATTTTATTTCATTTTTTTGGTAATTGGATCTATGGGAGGGTTTTTTGGCATGGATTTAGATGGTAAATTGGGAATAGTTAATAAAAAATTCTTTAGACAATTTTCAATTCTTGGTGGATATTGATGGTGATTGGATTATGGGAAGAATTTTTGCATTAATTGGGTAGTAAGATAGACAATTTTTTTTATTCTGGATAGTTGGGTATTTTTAAGAATTGTAAATGACGAACATAGATCTGGTGGAACAATGAAGGATTTAATTTTGTAAAGCTCATGCTAAAAGCCAAGAATAAAAATAATAAAATAAAATAGGACATTTTGTGAAAAACGAACTACCTTAAAAAAAAACACTTTTTTCGAGAAACTACTTAATAAAAAAATGTTGTAAGAAACTACCTTATAAAAGGGTAAATGTTGTAAGAGATTGTCACTGGTCGGAAAGTCGACGTTGACTTTTATTTTTTCGGCGTTGATCACATCACGTGCCAATCAGGTGACTTTTAATTCACTATTTCCCTCCTTTTTTCTTAGTTAGCACATGATGTGGTCAACTCCAGAAAATAAATATCAACGATGACTTTTCGACTTAGGGTAATCTCTTATAACATTTACCTTTTTATAAGGTAG